TATATAAGAAAATAAAGGATCCTATAATTTTAGAAATCATAACATTCAATTGTCATTATGAGTTTGCAACTAGAAGATTAATAATTAACTAATAGAAAGTTAACAGAAAAATTATAGCAACTATTTTCCAATATATAAAAACCATAAGTCATTACTCATTAAGTATGAAAAATACAATGAAAGTATTCACTAAAAAAACAACGTAATTAAGTAAATAAGTTACACAATATAAAAAAAAACTTTTACAGTACCTATGTACACTTTATAACTCACGTGCTGCACCATCTATACTATCATTATAAATATAAAATATTTGAGAAAAACTAAAGTGAAAAAATATTCTCACCCTCTTCACTTATTTTGTGTTTCAACAGTCGCAATCATTATTAAACATCAAAAAGTTGCTACACATCACTTTATTTTAATGAATTACAATACAACGCCAATTATATCTCTCAGAGTATCGAAACAGAACATTTCACCTAAAGAATATATCAAGGTGGTGTATTAATGGTAATAATAAGACTTGAGTCACACGAATCCAAAGTTCTTTGTTTTGATTGCGAGAAGTAGTTTTTGTCGTAACACAGTGCGACTGCTATAAAGAGGGATGTATAGGCGGGAAATACATGTATTCGCGGTTGGTAAATGAGCATCATCTGCAGGCCTTATTGTCACCGATGGCATAGGTTGGAAACCGTCTTCACTTGCAGGCAATGCTGGTGATCCAGTCCAAAAGTAAACCTATAAAAGATCAAATTGTACAAGCACATATACTTTCTAAAAATTAAAAAAAAAAAAAAGTGATGAAGTACGTATACTGAGGCGGATAAAACCGATGTACTTCGACACAGGTCTACCCATACTTTAATACTTATCACTTATGCAAAATTTTAAAATATTGTTATGATTTTATTATAATTGGTTGTTTAGAATAAAAATAAAAGAAAGCATATTAGAAGAGGCTCTCAAACCATTGTTTGACAGTTCAAATGCTGTAAGCAATGCAAAGGATGTGATGATCAGCAATATTCTAAAATAATGTTCAAAGTATCGGTCACTTAGAAGTGATAAAAGAGTATGATCGGCATTACAGTTGTTGATTATAAAAAGATTATTTGATGTTAAAATATAAAGAAGAAAGACTGGGCATATTCACTCTGGAGTTACATATAGTTACAGAAGTGATAGTATATCCGTTGAATTCATTGAATGTGTTAAAAAAAAGCTAGGCAGGCCTTATTATTACCATAAAGTTAATGTTAACGTTAGGTAAATCTTAAAGTCCAACAATTTGCATATGAAATCGATAATTTATTTAAACCACTACCTTGGAAAGTATATAGTTTTACTTAAAAAAGAAAAAACCTTCAGACCTACAGAAGTATTTTCAGAACATAATTTAATTTCTAACTTAATCTTTAAATCTTTCTTCAGAGATAGTATAAATAATATGACGCTAAATTAATAACAACTTACAGTTACATATACCAAATCTAAAATTATAAAATCAAAACAAAAATTGACAAAAGCGGGAGTAAAAAAGAAACTACCGATGATACAATATCGTAGTCAAATAAGACAACAAAAATAATTCTAGAACACAAAAATCAATAAAAACCGTTAAAAATAGATAATAAAACACAAACAGAAGATAACGATAAATATTGTAGGTACAATTTGCCTTTTATTATTAACCAAATGTTTACCCTTAAGGAATAAATAATGGGGAATTTGCGCTAAAATTATATTGAAGAATTGTATTAATAATTCAATAATGATAATAGTCAAAAGTGCATCACTGAAAGATTAATTCTGATTATTCTATTGCGAGATATTTTAATTGCTATTGGAACATAATTTGAAATACCATTCACCGCAAAGTAACGTCACTCCATGTGTTAGTTATAAATCATACTCATCTCTGAAGTTATATGACATATCGACATAGAAAATGCTGTCGAAATGTAGAATTTAGTAGCTGTCTCAGGGCTTAACAAGATATATATACAGGCTTAAAGACAAGATCAAGCAGCTTCATTTTTGTTTTATTCTATTATAAGTGCAAGTGTACCGGCACACAAGAAACGATCTTATTATAACTATAAGCAACCAACTTCCTTGTGTGGGGTGGTCACACAATCAAATATACTAAATAAAAAATCAATTACTTTTTTTTTAGATAATTTATTACCGTGTTTGTTATTTAAAATAAAATTTGATAAAGATAAGACCCAAACAATTACCTATTGAATTAAGGAGGTTTGTAGATTAACTAATGCATTACAAATAATAATGACAGGGTCAATATATGGGATCAAATTGTACTCGACTCATGCATGAGATTTTAAAAAGGCAAATTCCCTATTATCTCCTTATTACTCTTTCGATTGTATTCTCAAAATAACTATTTTTTTCAATACTGTTGACTTAACTGCTGGAACTAGGGGGTCTTATCAGTATAGTTACTTTTAAATAGTTCCTCAATATACCTAAAAGCCCTGTCAGCCTTAATACTTACTATAGGTAGTAAGCAGTAAAAAAAGTTTGATTTATAGCATATTCTTATATCTGAAGTGCGACTACTAAAACTTTCAGAAACGAAATTTTTTACTCCATCTAGAGTAGCGGAAACTAAGTATTTCATGGTATTACATTTTTTGTTATAACAATAAGTTAATGATTGATGCAATGCATTGGCAGGTATTTCTATTTCAATTTTCAGGCAAATACAAGGTACTCATATCAAAATGATCTTTACAACATTGCAAGACCGATTTTGGAGAAGGTATGAAAATATTTAATTATTAAGCTGTCAATACGGGTGTTTAAGTGACAATAATTAAAATATATTATTCGTTTTGAAATTCTGTTAAGAATTTTATAGCCATCTTTGTCAAAAATTAAACGATTTTAGTTTCTTTCATAAAGAACAGTAAATGATTTGAAAATTAGAAGAGATCGGTATGGGGAACTATAGGGCCATTCGAAAGAGAATAAATTTCTGCATACGTCTGTCATTTGAAAAAATGGACAATTGTTTGAACTTAACGAAATTGCCATTAAATATCTAAAACCATGGTTGTAATTAACACACTTTTACAGTACGGGTAGGAAGCTTCAAGGTATAGCTATCTCTCCTGAGAATATTATTGCTCCAGCTCTCTTACTGTATAGTAGGCATGCTTTTTCGATACCTACTGTTCTGTGCTCCTTTTTCTTTATTAGTATTAGAAGCAGAAAAGCCTTATGAAGGTCTAACTAGAATCATAAGTAGAATTTAAAACCGTCATAATAAATAGGATGCTCTATTAAATATAACGAAATTGAAGTTAACTTGCAGCACTCAGACAATTTATTTCCTGTTATGATAGATATTTCAACAAATTAATTCCGACGAATGTCAGCGAAGACTATATAGAAATCTCAATACCAAAGACATCGAGTGGAAATTTATTTCAGCACGTTCCATGCACTTTGGAGTTGTGTGAGAGGCTGCACTGAAGTCCTTCAAGTACCACATGAGAAGAATGGGAGAATCGATACTCATCTTCGAAGAATTGAATACATTCTCTCTCATCAGATCCAAATAAACGAAATAAACATCTGCCACAAATGGATTAAAAGAAATCATAATATTGGAGCAGACACGTTTGTTATTATTAAAAACAATGATCTCCCTAGTCTCCGTTGGCTCAAAATTAGAGTAATACAAACGCACCCCAGTGCAGATGGTATGAATCGCATTATTACATTGAGAACGTCCAAAGGAGCCATCAACCACACATTCGTTTCAAAAAGAAACTAAAATAAATCATTGATCGGCGAACCACTTAATGACAGTAAACTTTCAAAATAATTTTTATGTTTCTGTGAGCTTTCACGACAGGTGTCTAATGAGTGCTGTATTTTAGTTTTCGAACTTGGTGGCCGTTATCTTTGGAAATTACTTCCCGACATTTCGCTTGCAGTTGTGGTAGGCATTTTTAGGGAGGCATAGTAGTTTTCTTAGTTGAAGATGTCGCTTGGTGAGCAAATAATTTTTGTGTAAAAGATTGCTATTTCAATTAACCATCTTTCTCTAGTCTTAAAAGCTGTATTTGGAATAGATGAAACGAAAAATATGTTTAATCTGTCAATATCTAATAATATACAACACTTGTATTCGATTGTGAAGTTAGAAAAGCTGTCTAGTAATTGCAAAGTATTTTTTGTCATGTTAGCGCGGAAAGCTTGTTTTGCATGCTATGAAATAAGAAAGAAATGGCCTCTTTTCAGCCGTGTTTTAGCTGGGACGAAATGAAATTAGTCTTTTGAGCGCATGCGCTCAAGTTTATGGGCATGCGCAGAAATCAGTTGTTCAATAACAATATCTTTCTAACCTCTAAATCATTTACTCTTATTTCGTCAAATATCAATTTAATGACGAGCTTTTCACACAAACATGACAAAAAATAGTATACGTACCTCTGTCTGAAAAGTGGATACCTCGATACGTAATATACTATTTCTACAAATGATAGGAATAGTAAAACTTTGCGACAAAAAAATTTTACTTTCTATGGGAGTGAAAACAGCCAAAAAACACTCTAAACAATTGTGTCTAGGTGGGAATGTTTTGCAACGTTGTTGCATCTTAAAAAAATTGATATGCACATCAGAAATTAGAACTTTCATAGACATTTCTATGTGCTAAATTATGAAATAATGAGCGTTCTTAGGAGTAAATGAATCAATTTGGTATATACATAAATTCGCTTAAATCGCCGGACTAGCTACGACGCAATGAATGCTTAGTAATCGACATACCCAACACAATCAAATATTAAGGATAGACGAAAAAGCAGAATAAGCCTGTCATTACCGTGAAGTTTAAGATGAAGAGGTAAGGAAAAAAAATGGAAATCAGAAAGTACAAAATGTTCTGAAAGAATTAAATGCTGTATTTCATAAGAAAAGAATAATGCAAAACCGTACAGAAATATTTGTTGTAGTTCTTTCTTCTAACTTATAAGCAGTTTAGTTTAATTCAATTGATTAAAACAGTAAACTTACCAAATCTTGTCTTTCCAAATGCGTCATCTTTTCCACAATGGACCACAACCACCGCTTAAATTTCACCAATCGTTCGCTACTTTCACCAGACTCATCATTAAAAGATGTATAAGAAATGAGTACTGATACGTTAATGTCGCCCACACCATTTAACAGAAGCCTCAAATCTTCAGCAGTTAGGCCGTCCAAAGAACCTTCGGGTAAAACATCGAAAACACCCATACGAATATGCTAAAAGAGAAATATATTAGAAAATGAGAAGATATCTTCCACTTCTTATCCTAAAATTAATGTTTACGTGTAATATTTATTATTATTTAGTTATTCTACAAAACACACTCGTTTGTCATCTTAAATAAATTTTTATCTAACAGCTTTCTTTTAATATGTTATATCTACTGTCGGATATAATGAATCAATGCTCTAGCTGTAAGGAATAAGGATGCAAAGGACGCGAGTGTGGCGTTATTATTGATTGAATCTTCTTTCCACAGACGCACGCACACACTCACGCAACCATCATTTTTGGTAGTTTGTCTTTTTGATCTTGGCATATCCTCACTTATTGATATTTCCATCTATTTTTCTAGATTTCTTTATTCATCCTAGTTTGTTTTAATTAACTTTTTTCTTTGTTCTCCTGATTTTCTTCTTCTATAGAAACTCCATGTTTGAATTTTTCCTAAATTGGTTCTGTATGGATCAGAGAGTGTGTGAAAATCTTGCCGACTACCATTTCCAGATTTTTCATCTTCTAGTTTACAGTGCAAGTATTCAACAATAGAAGTGAAAAACATGAAACTTTGTCATTTCTGTTTAAATTTTTATTATCATATTTGTTCTTATTTGTATCCTTGTCCTTTTCTTCTTAGTTATTCTTACACTTGCATTCTTTTAATTTACGATTCACCATGTCGCAATTGGCATGTAATATCCCTTATAAGCAGTAACAATATTTAGTTGTATCATTTGTCTTTATTTTACCCATTTGCTTACAGATGATGTAGAGTTTTACTATCTGTGTTAATGCTCGGGATGTTTTGAATTCTTGCGTCTTGTCTAGATGTTTTTTTATTGCGCTGAGGTCTAATATGTCCAAGTTCAGCACATTCATAACATACAACTTCACATTTGTAAATATTTTTTATTTCTCCTTTAAATTAGATAGGCATTTCTTTGTTTTACTTTATAAATGTCTTCCTCCACAGATAGTCTTAAGATAAGACTATTATCAAGAGTTTTTTCGCCTCCTGAAGTCGAATGCCAAACGCCACTAAAACGTTGAATTTGTTTAAGAATTATCATAATTTTAGACATCAGCATGTTTTAAAAGATTTCTTCATTTAGAATCTTCAACATAACCACAACGTTTTGTAATTAACTAATATTCATATTTTGTCAAATTTGAAGTAGCAGTATTTTTGCAAAAACAATTCTTTATTGTTTAGTTTTATTCAGATACTTCTTCAGTCTCATGCATGCATTTAGCTGAGGTGAGGTTTATCTATTTTACTCACCGCCCTCAAGACTGTATGTTGTGCTATGGCGTCCTTGATCTTCTATTTCTGTTTGCATCCGTTCTACACTTGACAAGCTCAATTGGTCAAATAGTAAATATGCAAACTACATTTTACATATATCCATTGCTTTTAATATTAGTTTATTTGTTTGTACACAAGGGATTGTAAATTAGAATATTTAGGGTGATTACGATAACATATGGTACATAAACAGATGAAAAAAAACAGTTTAGCTATCTGACTTGTTCTTCGCGGATATGAAATACCTATGGGAGCAAAATGTTCGGGATGCAATGTTTCAGAATCTGTTACAAATCTTAATTTACATAATAAAAATATTACAACAAATGCATTAAAAAAATTAAGAAATTGTTTTGTTACTTAAAATACTTACTTCAATAGCTTTCTCTTGTAGTTTCACCATCCTATACTTAGCATATTTACGCACGTAATCATATACGCTGGAAGAAGTTACCTCAATATCTCGACCATTCGGAATCAAATCCACCATACCGCCGCCTTCTTCTGCACTCAGGTCAATGCTAGAATATGAATACACAATGAATAACTAATTTATAGTTATTTTATAAAATATTCAACATTGTTTTGGTCAAATCTATCACTACAATGATATTTTTGGTATGATATATATACAATACCATATATAAGTTGATTAAGGTATGTGTATATATTTACATATTGTGCATGTGCTACGATAAAAATGAAATCATAATAATGAGGTATAGCTATTGGTATCGACTGCTACCACACACATTAAATTCGACAAATCCCAAAATTCACAATTTTTCAATATCTTTGGTTAAATAAAAAATCGGTTGTCTGTAAAATCGGCTTACTGACGATAATTGAACGTGACAGCATCATAAGAAAATACTGATGGAATGGTTTCATTTTTCAAAAGAAAATTTTAATTTTATTTGTTTGATAGATATTTTGTATGTATATAGAGAAGGAGGTAAATGGAAATGTATTATTGTATAGCAGCTGTCCACGCGGACGCATCGATCACTCAAGTAGGAGAGAGACAGATGTCAAACGCTGCCGAACGAGGAACCCGATTATGCCTCTTTGTCGCTCGTTCCGCGCTCTCGCTTGCACTTCAAGCCTTAAATGGAACGCCTCAGAGCGAGGTAACGCCGCATGAGTTATGTTTTTTCGTGTGTGCAGCCGGCTCCATCGAATTATAAGACGTTGTCACGTCAAAAACGACTTTTAATGTTTTGATAAAATTTCATATATAGGTACCGACTGAGTATGGTCGTGTGACGAACTGATGTTGAGGAATTTTAGGTTGCATGTCCTCCTAGACGAAAATCAAACACCACCCAACCGTAGGGATAATTGAGTAACTTGTGAAGATTATCTCTCCACGGAAACAAATATGCTATAGTGACCTTGAAATGTGCATAGTATATATTAGGTTGTGCCAGAAAAACGCGATATTTTTTTTCTTGCTCTCCGCTCAAAATATCGTAAAATATGTCTAAACAAATATCCTGTTAGAAGCGGAGCTTATAATTTCAATTTTAAGAGGTCCATCATCGAGTCTGAAATTTTACCGTTTAAAAAACACAGAAAAATGATTTTTTTAACGTATTTATTCTTGCAACCCATGAAGAATTTTTTTTTCTATAAAATCCATGGCTATATCTTATAGTACACTAAATTTGGAGCAAAAAATCTCATTGAGCCGAATTTCCATTTTCATTATTTTTTATTGGATTTCGCCATCTATGTATCTACTTCTAGCTCCTAATGGGCTGTCTACCTGCTTGAAAACGTAACTCCGTTTATTATCTCAATATATCCCAGGTGACGTTGAAACCTCTTACGCGTTAGGTTACCTTAAAATTTGCTTCAATTCCAATATTCCATTAACTATTTATTACGTGAAATCGGTAAGTGTTAATTAGGTAAAATTTTGTAAAGCAGATGGAATAAAGTGCTGCAAATATTCGGCTAAATATATACAAGGTGTCCCATTTATAATAATTAAAAAAAAAAACATGGATTCCTGACACAAAATACAACAAAAAAGTGTTATACAATTTTTCAATCCAGTGACAATTGAGCTCGCAAATCGTCTGCAAATTTGAACGTACAATTTGTTTCATTACGGGCCTGGATCTAGGCGACTAACGTCGCTCAGCGGATCTAGTGTGGATGTAACAAGTACCTATCGGGAAGAAGCCAAATGCACTTCCACCTTGTAAAAAAAAGTAAAAGTGAAAAACAAAAGCGTACCTTTTATAAAAAATGTTGAAATTGTCCGCCATTCGCTTCAATGCAACACTGACAGCGACGTACCCAGTTGCTGCGAATTTTGGCCCAGATACCGGCAATATTTCGAATTATACGATAGGCATTGGTAATGTAACTCACCACCAACTGATGGTTGAATAAGAACCCTACTAGAATGCACTATCACACTACTAATTGTCCTTATTGAAATAGTCTTTTATGAAATAACCACTAAATAAATAAACTAACACTAACAAACAAATGAATTCCACAACAATCCAAAGTAAACTGAACAACCTGTTAGAAACTACGGCATTATGTGTATTTATTCCAGTCACTTCAAGCAGTGTAATTATACGAGATTATATCAATATTTAGCTTTTTACATTTAATGAAAACAAAATAACCAACTTGATCCTTCTGGATACATCCTTGTATTACTGGACGTGGGGTTAATGAGCCCTGCCACGCAAAACTAATGTTTAACACATGTGAATGGTCAAAGTAGGTCTGCATCTTGTCTCAACTTTTACAACCATAACACATACATTTGTTTTCGTACACTAGTACGTTATGTTACAAACCTTTACCAAACGCTAGGCGGTGAGGGTTGTTTGTGCACCGCTTCTAACTATTCCGTAGTCGTTAAAATTTCTTTTCTATTTAAAATAACATAATACTCGACGTCATGGGCTACATTAGGCAAAAGGCAGCTAATTCCGACCTACTGAAGGTGAATTTTTCTACGATCAACTGGCAATCGTAATTAATTTGCGATTGTGTAGGGCCAGCATCAAAACTGTTATAATTTTAATTTTTTAGTTTGTTTCAAAAGTCAAAAGTGTTATAACATTTTATGTTCCAAACGCCCGTAGGAAGCTGTGGTATAAATATTAATTATTATAACTGGGACACCCTATATAGGGTGTTGTTCAAATAAGTGGCAAGCTTACAGGAGGTGATAGGTTGCTGTAAAAGAAGAAAATTAAGTAAATGTTTGTTAGTCCGAAAATTCACTGTTTACGAGAAAAATGCATTTGAAAGTACAGAGAATTGCCATTCCGGCAGAGAAATACGACAAAGCAGCGCCGCGTTTAGTCAACTACAGTGAACGTATCGTGGGCGGAGCACACTACTTTTGGCGCAGCTCAGAGGTGTCCGACACATTTGTTTTGCTTTATTGTGGACTGAACGAGCATGGTCGGCTGATCGAGCTTAAATGCGGCTATTGGAAGCACAAATTAGAGGAGTACAGTAGTCGTCATCTGCAGAAATGCAGCTTTGCGGAAGTTCAGGAATAATTAGGAGGTGCTGGGGATGACCGTAAACTGTATGTTCCGATAATTTTCAGTCGTGTATAGAAGTGATATGCAGAAGCGAAGGCACAGTCGGTATATGTCATATATTTAATCAATCGATGTTTTATAGTAGATCAGTGTATCACTGTAGCATAATCGCTGTTGCAATGCAGGATGCGTATTTATAAGCTCATACCATATCGCTGCTGTAGAAGACAAACCCTTGATTTCATAGAAGACAACCCTCAAAACAGTACGCGCGAAACAGAACGGAGCATTGACTCCTCTCATGTGTCAGACAACAAATTTTCAGGGAACAGTCACTGCATCCTTATCTTTGCAGCGAGCCTTGTCTAGCCATTGTTATCGAGTTCCTCAATATTTCTACATTCAGGAGTTTAATGTTTTACGTTTTACACATTACAAATGTATATTGTTTTGCTTGTTTACGCGCCTATCACATAGAAGCTACGGCGTGAGTTCAACTTCTCAAATCGATATCCTTACTAGAAAATGACATTTATGAAGTAGTAATTTTCTACAGATGACATTCAAACGGTACCTGTACGCATACAAATACACATGCCAACATAGGCTTTCCTGACTGCCTGCCACATCATATTACTGTATGATATATCGTCACTTCTGAACTTATTTCACATCGTTTACTTACTTTTACATTAAAGTAACATAATACATACCTAAAGTTCAAATCAAGTGCTGAAAACAGACTATTGCCATCTTTTGTTTCTGCGTCTACCACCAACTGTCTTAATGATTCATAAACCACAGGATCGAAAAAGGCTAAATCATGAAATTTAATAGACCGACCCAAGATCGATTTTAACACATGTCGCGTTAAAAATATAGGACAAAGTTCGTTCTGTAGTAGGCATAATCCCAAAAGTCTGTAAAGAAAGGCTATAGTTTAATTTTTTTTATTACATACGCGTTTTTAGATTCAATATTTTAATTAACTCAAAAACTAAGATGATACTTTAGAATTCTTCAAAAAATCTTGTAGATACACAAACATTTTAATTTTCCAATTCTATAATAATTTTTTACAGAAAATTACTGCTAATGGTAAGATTAATTTTAAAATTAAATTAAAATAACCTACTTGTTTCTAAATCGGATGAAAGCGTAATTACAACTTTATAGAATAACAATATATAAAATGACTTACCTTCCTACATTTCTAAATGCATTTAATCTCTCATAGGTAGCTTTTCCTTGTCTAGGACAATAGAATCCTCGTTTTCCAGGGCAATAAAAAAGGGGCGCATTATCGTCCTCTTCGATGGGGCATTCCTCTGATCCACCGTCACCGCTAACCATATTGCGGTAGTTAGATTTTCGAGTTCCATTTCGTTCTTGAAAATAAAAAAAAATAAATATATAAGCAGGGTTCTATTTTCAATAAACAGCTTAACGATCAAACGAATTTGGCTGAAATTCGATCGTAAGTATGTGGGATTCCGAATCCGAAAGTATAACTTATTTTATTATTTCGCAGTACGGTGAACTGAACATGAACGCGCTTATTTCGAAATGTCTGTAGGTTCAGCTACTACCATCAGGCTAATTTATTCTAGTCTCACAACATGCAATTTATTCGCAACTTTAGGAGAGAAGAGATAATGAGTAACGGCGGAAAGAGATATATTCGCACTGGAAAGGTAATTCCTGAAGTTGAGGCATAATGAGCTGAGTCGGGCGAGAGAAGTTGGAACTTCTTAGAACTTAAAAATACATATATGTAAATTCAAACTTAGGGTGTTAGATGCTGGAATGATTATTTATTAAATCAGGTAGAAGGATCACATTATTTCTGTGTTTAAATAATTATTTCTGTTTAGATGCTTAAAATAAAGTTGGGAAAAAATCAAAAGTATTCGCCCCTAGCAATCAACATACCAAGTGTCCCAATTTTTATAAGCTGTTGACATAATAGGATTTATTTCGGAATTGATAGCAGGTGGCGGGAAGAAGTCATAGGAAGAACATATTTTATGTTTAGTTCCGCTAGCTCGTTTTTTGGCAAGCCTGGGAAAACGGTGGAAGCCGTCGTGTGAGTGGCTACTCTTGTCTAGCTTTCCGATTAACTGAACAGTTCGTTATCGAAGTCCCGATTAGAAGATCGAGGTCGCCGTTTTGATTTGCCCATAACAAAAACAACTATATAAGCACATACAGCACAAATCCCCGAAATGAGCTAGCGAGATGATAGCAACTGGAAGATGATCTAGTGAGAAGATTTCTCCTTTGGATATTTAAATATGCGCGCGCATGTATGAAACGCCGCTACTACAGAACGGTTGTGATATCTTTGAACAGGAAACCAAGACATAATCGTAAATGTTGGACTGGTTAAATATTTTTAGAATGAATTTAAAATGCTAAAACACACCTAGTCAAACCTGCTTATCGGAGTTTAATATTTGAAATAGATTTCTGAAATTTTGTAATAAAACATGCAAAGCTTTACTCTAAAAAACTCATGTTTTTCGAAAAATTAAAGCAAGGCTAAGCACGAGCGGTTTATTGCGGTCAAACGAACGAATACGAATACAAAGTAGTTCAACCCATCACGTTCTTCTCTTTTCTATATTTATATCATTGAAACGATTAAAGATATGAAAATTATCATTCAAGACGTTTTAATAAAGAAATAACTGATCTTGACAATAAATAAACGAACAAGTTTGCAACTATTGTTTACAATTCATTGCATTTTTCATATCTTGTAAATTTTTTATCATAAACTGTTTGTAAAATGATCAAACAAATTATAGACAAATAAATCCCCTTAATACTGTGAGAAATATTTAATGTGTATACTGTATCATAGTTTTATTATAAGATTGATTCCCTAACCTGAAAAAATATTTTTTTTTGTTAAGGAAATGACCGCAAAGTCCGTGAGCGACGCCACTAATCAGGCAAGTGGTTGCTGAATTGACTTCAGGTGTTTTATCGATTTTATACCCCTTGGCGTACGTGACGAGACATGGCGAGTTAGTGTGTAAAAAGTACTGCTCGGGTTATTGTGCGCGTCGTTTGTGTTACCACGTTATCGTTATCATTTCTTTCCGTTTATTTAAACCCTTTCGTTTTATACTTATATGTATTATATTGCTTTTTATTTCTCTGTTCATCGTTTTTGGTTTATCTTGGTTTATATGTATTAAAATACAATACACAAATCCACTGCATTATTATTATTCAAACAACATTTTTATTTTTAAAATTACATTTTACACGCACTACTAAATTTTCTGGCAATTACAGGTTTTCAAATTGCTCGATATCCTGTTGTTTTATGAGCAACAAAATTCATTCTTAAATTTTCCTTACCTGGATCAGAAGGAGCATCTGACGTATGGGTATGCGCTAAAATTAATTCGATCGCCTCATTTACTTTGACTCTTAGCGACTCTTCGGAAGCGAGAAGTAATAGCAATTGAGCTGGTGATAATTCTAACAGCATGCCAGTAATTCTCCCGGCAAATGTGGGATGTAAATTATACACCTAAGAAAAAAAACGGTATTATCAACTTTGTTTTGAAACATATTATTAACTTAATTTAATCAATAGTATAACTTTTAAAATAAACTTACTACTAGAGGGTATGGTGTACTGACGAGAACAAATTACTTTTAAAACACGATTCACGTTTGCAAGTTTATAAAAAGTTGTCAATCATTTGATATACTACTGTTAGCTGCAAGTAATATTAAATGGCGATGTACTGCCTGCAGTTTGATATTATTTTAACTTCAATTTGACTAGTAATTCATGGAGACTGCCTATAGCGTGTTGATGAAAACAAATAAGTTCGAATAAAAATTTTTTAGTGTTGTGTTAAGAGTGCGGACGTGTTGTTTTGCTATGCGAAATTTCATATTTTACCATATCAATTTCAACGAGACTTGGTGCAAAGTTGAAGTGTTTTTTCAATTATGCTATGACTTGAGTTTTGAATTGTGATTGTTTTTGTAGTACTTTGAGACTTTTTACTTCAGTACTGTGTTGATAATACTCAGGTTGTTACATCCGAAAAGTCGATCTGGGTATCGACTATCGTTCAACACAAAAGAAATAGAGAAGAAAGGGAATAGAAAAGCTTACACTACGAGTATATGTAATATAATTGCAAAAAAGTCTGAGTAATTTTAAATTGCTTAATAAAAGCACACAAAAATTAATTAGTTCGGTTATTATATGTGGATTTTTGAAAGACAGGGCTAAACTATTTATAATATTTATTGCAGGTACAGAGGAAAAAAAAAACGAGAAGTCAGAGAAGTCACAAAGGGAACAGAAGAGTATATGCTTCGTGTATGCAGGTGACCTAGTTATAAGACGGATTCTCACATATAGGGCCGGGCAACAGTTGTGTCGTTCCAATTCAGTTCAATTCAACGGTCGCTACATTTGATAAAAACGGTACAACCGTTTTAATTTCACACATAAGGGACTGGGCTAGGAAAAAAAAAACTTTTGGGTGTTTCATTCCCACCAGCCAGTATTGCTGGTGTACTGCCCGCCCGACTACGCCGGAAGGTAGGGCGGAAGGCCCTCTTCAGCCTGCTTTCAGGAATCGTGGGAATGGGTGGGTGGTAGTTCGGGTGAGAAAGATGAGACGGACAAAATGAAGACAGAAAAGAATGAAGATTATCTGTGAAATATTACTGCCTCAGCATTTGTCTAGGTGATACAAGGAAACCACAGAAAAACATGGACCAAGGCAGACGGACCCGGAATCGAAACGGCGTCCTCCCGAATGCTAAGCAATGGGCTAGGACTGTGTTAGGATATATATAGGAGGCAACTGACTCCCAAACTTAGTGTGCGTGACCTACTGTCTCTCTTTCACTCATGTCAGTGTGCGTGGCTTTCTATCTCTTTCTCTACTCTATGTATCCCAGTCAGTCACTTTTGAATACCCTTTGCGATCAACTGTTTATCGTTTCTGACGATTATAAATATACTTCTGCTGAACATATAGATAATAATGCTTTATGAATGATTCCATAATTTTATGTTAAAACTTTGTATTTATTTTTATGTTCCCAAGTATTCATTTTTTTTTTCATTTTCTCAAGGCTTTTTTCCCCTCAAGTCTTTTTTTTTCATGATTTTTGTTTTATACTACAAAGCTTCGCTTCTTTCGGGCATCCCTAGACGACACTGTTATTGCTTTTTTAAATAGAAATATATATTTTTGATGCCGTCATTGATAAATGAGACAAATTGCGTAATGGAGTTTATTTGCTTTTAACTTTTCAGTTGGTATTTATAAGAAAGTAAGATATTTTGGATACTTGAATGGAAAATATCTTTATTATGGTTATTTCATACGGAAAAAGTTTTACAATTTGGCAAAAGGTGCATTTTTGCAATAGGGCAATTCAATAAGAACTTCGAGTGTGGCCTGCACCTTCAAGATAATTTTTGTATTTTTATCTAAAACTGTTTCAAAAATAATGAGATCCAATCAACATATTTCATCGTCTCAAGATATAAGACTACGTATATGTAGTTCTTTACATACTTTTTGTTTAATATTTCTAATGTTTGTCTAATTATAAAAAATAAATATGTGATTTGTTAGAATTAGTGCTAAACTAGCAATAATAATTCACGGATTAAATAATTAAATAAATAATTATTACCTTTGGATAAATTCTATCTCCCAATTGTTGTTGATGAGATGTTAAATGATCGTTTCGGCTGGCATTAGATCCACTGGTACCTCCTAAAATGCCAAAGGTATATTTAAGTATCATTAGTTCAAATTTCAACGCAACAAAATTCCATGTTATTGAAAACTATTATAGAATTACTGTTTTCAATAATTAATAATTCACTGTTGTACTTTTTCTCAGACGATACAAAGTCTAAATAAAATCTTTTTGGTGTTTAGAACATTTTCAGTTGACACTGTTCGATTGTAAAATTTTTCAAGTACTTTGTACAAGACCACAATTATATTTTTTGAGCCACCCACTACTTTTCAATAATGTGTGGAATTGAAGTGCACATTTTCAGGGGGAAAAGAACAAACCTGTTTAATTCAACCACCCTGGTTTAATAACAATAACATTAGAAGCATGCTGACAATTTTAACACGAAAAACAGAACCGAATCAGGGAACAGTAAACTAACAACATTGCGCAAATTTTGGGTTAAGATTTTACTCCCAACCATGTTTTAAAGCGATGTACTAATAATATAATCAATTGCAACCGTGCAACTAACAACAATAAACGACTAATAATTGTTCTGTTTTAATTTAAGTATAAATGAGACAGTTTTTATGTATTACGCCAAATGATCTAAAATTTCTTGGAGAAATACTGATTTTTCATTTTCTTGTGATAAGTTGTGCAAGAACAGAAACAATAGTAAACTATTATAAGGCACAAAACTTCTATTTCAAATTTAATTTCACATTTTTTAATGGGCCGAATGATGCGATTCTGGGGTCGTATTACATAATAAATCCTACCATTCTCTCTTTATTTAAACCTCAATTGATTGCAAATTTACTGTAACAGTGATTACAATTTGTAAACTGTAAAGACACACTTAAACCTAAAAGTTACCTGAAATGTCTGGCATGGAGGGGTTTTCTGAACTGAAGTTTTCTGAGGGTACAAATGGTCTAGCATCTGCAGTCATAGTTCTCCGATGGTGATCGCGAGAACGGCTTGATCCTCGATTTGAATTGCTTGATCTTCTAACAAAATCTCTATCACGACGTAATCGCTGCAAGACACTGTAGTGGGTATATTTTGGGCCACCAACCTGTGCCGATTCCAAGCTCGGCAATTTTTCATTAACAAGTATTGCCTCGGCTATTGCAGTATAAAAACTCCTAGCGACGCCCGAACCTTCACCTGGCTCATCTTTAAAAGTTACTTTCACGCGGTTCACGGCTAAAGGGGGCTGCGACGCGGATGCACGCCTATTATAATTGTTATATTGTGAGTTTAGTTCTTTGAATGTTTGCAAAATTAACTGAGTCCTATTTCTTTCCATCTGTAATAGTACAGAAAGATGTCAATGATTACAGATACACTTGGGCTCTCAATAAAATAAAAGTATTCTAAATTAAATAAAAACCAATATTAACAATGTTGTAAGGGATAATAAATAAATAAATAAAATGTGCGATTAATTAAAAAAAAATTTTTTTTGATCTGTAATATCTCTCCTTATACGGGACTAATTTTGTAAAATGTATAAATCGAAAGATAAAAGCTCGATCTATTTAATTTATTTACCATAATAGGATCCTTCAGTACGACCGACAGCTGGCACATTCATAGCGTTTGAAGAGAGAAAAAGAGAAAAACAAAAGAAGACAGCTGTCAACCATTCGTTCTACTAACCTTACTCCGGAACATCGCAACGCATTGCTATACTTTTTTAAATGTGATATGATATAACTTTTTATGCTATGAATTAAATGATTTTATGTGTTATATAAAAAAAGTATTGTGTTAATACATATTTTTTATATGAATTCATTTCTGAAAGTTAGTTAGGCAAAGAAAATGACCTATTAAACTTTTTGGAACTTTGCATTCTGGTAGTTCTCGACGTGTAGATAAAAAAAAGTCTCAATAGGCGTTATGTCGTAAAAACTGATCTTTTTGAGATGTAGCAGACTTTCAAGATATAATTATACCTATTATACGTATTGAATACGTTGAAGTATACATAAATGCATATGTTAATGTATTATAATTATGTATATTACATATTATGGATGTGTCATGGTTCCGGACCAGTAACGGTCCGGAACAATATCTTAAAATCAATAACTGGAAAATTTACTGAAAAATACTTTTTTTATTTTTATAAAAATTCGAGATGGAAACCTCCTAGAACAAAGTCGGACTAGACCTTTGTCCCTCGTTCAATTTCCTGCAAGATAGTGCCGGTAAGATTAAAGATTTTTAATTTATTTATTAAGAAATTGATAAAAACTGTCAAAAAACGCACCAAAAATTCAATGCGCTGAAAATCAATGAAGGAATTGTTCGTTTGTCAAAAAAATGTAGTATAATGCAGTTCAAGGTATGTATAACTTATAAAAAAAATTGATCAAGATCATCAATGTAATTTGCAACTAAATAAATTTTGAAAATTCAAATTAATGCCAGTGCCAGAAGATCGGCCTGATATCTTTCCTGATTTTTTCTTTTTTTAGTTAACAAAAAATATCCTTAATATGCAATACACATAGGTTGTACCTTGGTTACGAAAGAATGAAACTTTAAGGAACCATATCCCAAAAAGACGTGTTTTCTTAGCGCCCATTAGAACTTTTGTTCTACAATTTAAGAACTACCAGAATCTAAAGTTTCAAAGAGTTTGACAGAAGGTCAAGTTGTAGGGCTTTTTCCTTTTAGAGCAGTACTAATCAATCCGCTTAAAATTGGTACATAAAGTATTAACGAATTCTCGTTACTGAGGTTAGATGCTACACATTTTTTATTATTTTTTTTTTAATTGTGCAAATAATGAAAATTTGAATATAAAATAAACAATTGTAATCCCATATTCACTTTTACCCATTTCAGATCTAAACATCGAAATTGCCTCCCCTTTTTTCATAAGAAAATAATAAAATAATAAATCATCTTCATTTTTTGTATTCAAATTAATTTTAAAATTGGTCGTTTAATCACAGACACAACAACATATTTTTTAAATAATCAAATATTTCAATTACCTACCACTTACTTTATTTTATATATTTAATCAACATATGCATAACTGCAAATTTTTATTTGAAAAACATATTATAAATTCATATCGGCAACAAATGAATTCAGTTATTAATATTCCTCAGAATAAAATAATAATAGATAGGTTGCAGCACGTTTACTTTTATCTTCCAGAATAGCAGAGCGAATGTGCTGATATTTCAGAATATTGAAATATATTATTTCACGTAGGAGAGTGTAACTATAATAAATTAACAGAAATTAACAGCCGAACAGTACTGGAATGAATTCATTAATTAGTCAGTTGCAAAACATGTCAGTAGGCATCCCAAGGGAACAGAATCCACTAAGGTTCCCTTCAAAACAAGGAAAAAATCTGGTAGAATAAAAAAAAATCAGACCATCTCTAAGTATGAAAACAAAACATGATATCTAAAAACAAAGGCTTTCACGGCCGGAATCCATAGTAGAATGAAAATTCGGGCTATAGGGCCGTGGTCTAAGTGAACTATTCCGTCCAGACGTTTCCGTTTCCAGACGCTACTGCGGTTGACATCCTCAGTGGTGGTGCTGCGTTGACAGTCGCTGTCGAGACTTCGGGATATAATCTACGTTCACGTTGTCAACGCAGCACCACCACTGAGGATGTCAACCGCAGTAGCTGACGAAACATCTGGACTTAGACCACGGCCCTATAGCCCGAATCTTCATTCTACTAACATGATATCTTTTGGATAATTTTCCTTATACGCATCTATATAACTTATTATATTAGGTTTGTTGCTGTCAAGTACATTACTTTATGTTCCCTAGAGAGGACAAGTATTGCAATTGACTAATGATACGATTTATAGCACGAATTAAACTGGCTTAAGTAACTTACTGCAAAAAAATCTGGCTTTATGCAAATGTCAAATATAAAGCAGCAAATTTCTCTATATCAAATGCAATTTCAATAAAAAATATAATATTAATTTTATTTCAACAATTCGCTGTGTGGATTTATGTTTGATGGGTTGTTTTTTTTTTATTATTTTCACAACAAAAAACAAAAAAATAAATTACTGGCCTTTGAAAGAGTCAAATCCCGTTGCTGGTTATTCCTTAATTTTTCCATATCTCGTCTAAATTTGGCCTCTTTTACTGGAAATCCACCTAATTCTGATACGATAGAGCCAGGTTCTAAACCAACATCTTCCATGAAAACGCGTCCGAATAAGTCTAACGACAACCTCCATCGTCCCAAAAGCAAGTCATGAGACACCAACTGCCCAATAGTTGACCTAGGTGATTCATTAACAACGTTTGGATTAGGAGTAGTTACAACAGTTACGTTCGCAGATATTTCCTGGTTTTCGAGTGTTTCTGTCTGTTGATTTTCTAACGGAATCATTTCGACGTCTTCAGATCGACGTTCTTGATTACTCTAGAAATGTACACAAGACATTGATGTAAACCATACGAAATAATTTTAAAGTATAACATAATTTTAATGTAACAATTCAAATCATAAACATTGGAACCTGTGGCATTGTATATCATCCACTAGATATCCGAATTTGTTCTCTTCAATCCTAGAAGATAAGTTTGCTACCGAAAAGTACGGAAGTTTAATAATGAGTTGAAATTTGAGCTATTAACTGTATTAACAATACAAAAAAATGTCAACTCCGTATCTGTCCATAATTTAGAACTCAACAAATTTATGGTCATCAAAAAGTTGTGTTATTCTATGAGAGAGAGTGATGTGTAACTAACAAAGTAAAATCACACACGTATTGACCCTCAAATTAATCTGCATTTAAATATAAAAAATGGTTATTTTCACAAGACTAATTCAAAAAATTAAGTATTACAAAGCAGTATACAGGATGACCACTTTTACAGTGCATACCATTGGGATATTCGAAACGATAAGAGATACAGCGTGGGTTAAATTAGAGATAAAATTTAACTTAATCTCAACCTAATCTCGATCGTTCTCGAGCTACCGCAAAAAAACTGAAATTTGCCATTTTCTTCATTTATTTTGTAACTTTTTTATTTATTTCAACAAAATTATGAAACCACATTTACATTGTAGAATGCAGATTCGGGCTATAGGGCCGTGGTCTAAGTGAACGATTCCGTCCAGACGTTTCGTCAGCTACTTCGGCTGAAGTATAGCCCGAATCTGCATTCTACTATGGATTCCGGCCGTGAAAGCCTTTGTTCTTACACATTTACATTATTTACAATAAACAGTCTGATTAAATTATCAGCAATTTTCCAGACTTAACTCAAATCTTATTTTCCAATGTTCACTGATTTTCTTATGGACGCCATGTTGGATTTTTATGCCAATAAATAGAGCGAAAATATATGAATTTTATGTTGTATGATGGACATTGTAAAAAATTCTTGAGTAAAATTAAAAAACAAAGATTCTGATATTGTTTATGTACATCATGGAACACTTTTCGGCAGAAGAATGTGTCGATATGTACAATATTTATAATGAAAATTATTGTAATTCAAAAACTGCTTTGGCAAGATATGGTGAGCGTTATCCACAAAGACGACAACCTAATGCATGTTTTTTGGACGCTTAAAAAATCGACAAACGTTTTGGCCCAAGTACACATTAATCCTGAAAACTCTCAGAGAGATATTGCAAAAAAAGTGTAATTTATCTAAATCTGGTGTTATGATATGATTTTAAATTTAAACGTGTACAAACCCTTCCATCCAGGCTACAATGAAAAGATTACGATTTTGTAATTGGTTCAGTCGTCAGTTGGAAGAAAAATGTCGATTTTGCAAGAACAATTTTATGGTCCGACGAAACATTATTTACAAGTAGCGGTATTTTTAATCGGAGAAATAAAGATTATTATTCTATTGAAAACCTTCACCCCACTTACAGAGTAAGACCGCAGGTACGCTTTAATTTTTAAATTTCCTCCAAAATAATTTGGAAAATATGTTGGACAACTTAAACCTGACTACTCTTAGAAATTTTAAATTACAATATGTAATTTCATTTATTGTTTCCATAAATTCTTAGTTTCTTTTATTTTATGGCTAACTGTAATTATTAGTATTAATAAATTCGGCTTGGCCACTTAATATTAACAAATAAATACAAAAATGATGTTTTAACGGGGGCACTGAAGTTCTAAATTCAATGTGTGGTACATCAATGACATCATATTGTTTTGCTCTATTCACTGGCATAAAAATCTAGCATGGTGTCCATAAGAAACTCAAAAGTGAACATTTAAAAGCAAGATNTAAGTAGGCCTGGAAAATTTTTGATAATTTAATTAGAATGCTTATTGTCAATAATGTAACTGTAGTAAGTTTTATAATTTTCTTTAAATAAATAAAAAAGCCGTAAAAAAGAAAAAAGCAGATTGTTTTTTTGCGATAACTCTAGAACGGTTGACGTTAGATTAGGTTTCTTTTTAGATTCTTGAATAGCATAAAAAACGCAACTTTTCTCTAATTTAACCAACACTGTATATCTATCCATGTATACAAAGTCATTGCGATAGACAAAGTTTACTTTTTAATTTAATACACAATAATAAAAACTGAAAAATAAAAAAAAATTGTAAAATATCTACAGACAAAAAAAATTGCATACCAATGAAGATCCTGCTCTCACAATAACACTCTTGCTGGGACTTCGCGAAATCGGTAGAGGGGAATTCGTCGAAGTTGCTGGAGTTGATGAACAATAATTATGAGGAACCAAACCCGCATTAGTCGATAACAAATTCATGGAAGGCAATGAAGACAAGGTAGATGAAGTCTCCGATTTAACGCCATCTTGACAGAAATTACCATTATTATTAGACTTTCTTGTTGATACAATAATCTGAGGTCGATTATTAGGCAATCCTTGCTCAAGACCAACTGCCGCTAAGAGAGTGGGTGATATCACCGTGGAAATTGGCGGAACAGCCGTTGAGTCTTCTATCATTTCCACTGACGAACCGTCACCATTGTTATAATTATGATCAATATTTGCTGGCAAGATACTGCAAGGATCACGGCTACATGAAAGGTCTTGGGGTCTATCTTCAGCAGCTTCATCTAAATATAGAAACGTTATAAGAGCAAATTAATATTAATGATTTCATGCGAGTTAGGTTTAATTTTAATTTCATAAAAGAATGCACAAATTAGCATAAATGTACCTATGACAAATGTAGAGCTTTTGGAAAATGCAATTAAAAAATGTAGTGCAATTTCAATAGAAAAGAAAAAAGTAATTATCCGAAAATAATGTATCAATACATACGCATTATGTACTTATACAGTATTACAATTATGAAATTCAAGTCACGCAGCCTTCTCAAGATAAAATTTCCTTAGCGGCAAACGTTCAAATTAAATAAATATTAATAGTGATACCTTCGATAGATTCATCTTTTACTGCGTCTAAAAGGTTCTGGAAATTTTGGTAGTTATTTTCCACTGCTCCTGTAGTACCAGATCGAGAATGTTTTAATGTATTGGACAACTCCGTCTGAACTTGTACAGTGACCCTATCATTTTCAACATTTTGCTGTCCATTACTATTTTGAGGATAAATGAGTGGATTGGGACCCATAACATTCATAGAATTAGGTAAAGGCTGGTTGGCTTTAATTGGCTGACTCATACCGAAATCAGAAGTTCTGCAGGATAAACCCAACCTAGATGGTATCCTTTCCAAAGGATTTTTCGAATGTATACCTACAAGAAGTCAAGTCAACTTGATTATTAATTTTCCTCATTTTACAATCATTGTTATTATTAGTAGATAACTATTAACGATAACTACTATATTATCACTAATATGTTAATACCCCATAAACCTTAATAAAATATAACCGCTGAACGACGATAGGTTTTGTGTCAACCAGGTAGATCGAGTAGTATGCGAATGGTGTGACTTCTTTGCTTTCTTCGAACACAAAAGCAAACGTAAGCAAAAGATGACTTAAATTGTCACGTTGAAATTTCGTTAATGAAACATCCTCGTCTTCTCGCAACTCAATATCTATTGCATTCATGGTAGAAGTTACCTTAGGTGTATAAAATGAATACAACACGTCAGGAATTTGCAAAATACCAATTCATCGCAGTTGGATTCAATACCATTCCCGCTTTAACAACAAAATCTTTTCCCATTAAGGTTTTATTGTCTTCGAAATATGAAAATGCCATCAGCGTGATAGGAGTCTGATTTCCTTCAAGATTTATAACGACATCATAAAGCAACACTTTACGTCGTTCGACAATAATACCATTAGTTAACGCGAAATCTGTTGTAGTACGAAACGAACGAATGTTTTGGACTTTAAGATAATCAAAAAGTTTACGTCCAACAATATTCCGCATTTCACCAGTATCTATATGAGCAAGACCTTCCAATCCGTAAACAGAAACCTTGACCAGTGATCGATAATATTCAGTTATTGCATAGGCTGCTAACACGTCAACCGTTTGGATGCCGTTAAGATGACTATTCGAGCTTTTATCGGTAGCTCTAGCTTCAGGGTAGTTCGATGTAATATAACCTGGAGCTCTACAGTCGAAACAAACGATCTCAGTAGACTTATTGATAACTGGAATTTCACGTCTAGGATCGCTTTCTGATTTCGAGTTATTATCGTGTTCTCATACTTTTACTGAACAGTAATTTTCTACATGCAGACTTTTCATGTCCAAAATTCTTACAATAATCACACCTAATTCTAGAATGATTAGATTTCTTTTTATCGTTTTCACTACCTTCAGTCAATAAAATTCACAATTGAGCGCGCTTTCGTTATCAACTCGTTAAAGTTATTGATATCGTCGCGGGGCAAAAATCTGCGTAAACGTTTATACAATAAACCATAGATCATGTCAAGTGTGAATTGACTGGCAATTATTTGACAATTTTGCTAAAAGAACGCGAGACTTATTCACAAAGATGACAGTCTAAACTAAAAATCTTCCCTTTGTTAAAGTCCAGAGAAAAAACACTTTCTCGATTTTTCGAATTTTGTGCTTTGCGAAAGGTACATACGTAACATACCTGAAAGACAAAAAATTTGAAGAGGAAACATTTTTCATATACTTATTCGGCTATGCAATCTCTGTTAAAAAGCATGGTTAAGTATCACGCACATTTCTTTCCGTACGCCTAAAAACGAGATACTTTTGGTCATGTATAGAGGATAGGAAGGTGGAACTTTTCTAAGAAAGTGTTACAAAAAAGTTATTATACATTTCTGACTAAAATTTTGGTAGAGCTTCAAAATTATGTCACGTCTGACAACACTGCTTGAACGTTATCAATAAATTACTATCAAAATGTATGCTTCAGAATTGTGCGCATACTCAAAAAAATAAAGTTTTCTTTCGTACGCATGGAAAAGTGCTACTTTTGTTCATGTATAATGTATAGGAATGTCGAACTTTCTACGGAGGTGTAACAAAAAACCAGTTTCAAGATTTTGACTTGAATTGTATCTATTTAGTCCAAATTACCGTTTTCATTAAGCTCATCGTTGGTTAAACACAAACTGATTTAATATATTTTAATCATGGCAATTTTCCAAACCATAAGTTAATCTAAATTCTTGATACACTGTATTTATCCCTGATGCATAGTACTTGCTTCACATATGTCAATCAGATTTTCTTTCATCTAACCTAACCTAACCTAGTAAGCCAATCACAGAATCCTCTGATCTGAACCTAATTTAAGTTTGGCGAACGTTTAGCCACCGCCACTAACCACATCATCGTATTTATGAGTCTAGGAATTTTGACAAAGGATCAGCGATTTCTAATTAAAAATTTCAATTAAATGACAACACTGGAGATCTAAAGTAGACCTAACGCAGAGTAATTTAATTAGGGTCTTTATGTTGCAAGTTTACTTTCTCCAGAACCATAAACATATAAAGCATTATTATAATCTAATATTCCTCTAGGCTTTTTAAGTGTTGTTATATAAATTTACGGTAAAGACAAATGCGGTATAATTTGCTGTTACATTAGAAAACTTACCAGATGAAGGTAAGGTAATTGGCTGTTTTGGTATACCGAACAAATCTTCTCTGCGAGCATTTGGTTGTAGCAACTGAGGCTGATCAGCTAAAGGTAAGGCCTCGGACATAGGTGTTTCAAAAGGATCGGGTGGTGAGCATCCAAGACATAAAGTCGAATCCGACCTCTATAAGATATACATAAAAAACTCTTAAGCACTCTTAAAGTTCATATATATGAAAGAATTTATAATAACACACGGTATGACAATTGTACAGGGTGTTGAAAAACTATTGCATTCGCTATATTTCATCAAAAATACAGCAAAATTCTATGAGAAAAGTTATCAATACAATTTTACGAATTCAGTTTAATCAAAATGACAAATCAGCACCCGCTTACCACTGTACGCGCGCGCTGATTGGCTGATGCGTCGGTTTTTAACACCATATTCATAGGAAATCTGAATGTAAAAACTGATCAATTTTAAATGAAAGCCAAAAAACGGACAATTAATTTATTTCAAATCATTAAGAGAAATATAGTTTTATGAATGTAGAGAGAGGGAACATCATTACGATCGGTAGTACATTCTGAACTCCAAGTTGTCCAGTAAAAGAGATTTACGAATCGAACATAGGAATATTCTATTACATGCAAACATCAAAGGGTAAAGCATCATCTTTTAAAAATACGAGATGGTATAGGGCAATTCATACGAATACCTTTAGCCATTTTTTTATGTGGATAATGAAGTTATATAAGTCCAACAAATGTAATTTAAAGCCGTCGAGGGGTGTTACGCTTTGATTAAAACATCTTAACAGTTAAGACAGCTTTTAGAAAAGCAATGATATTTTCAGATGAACGTGGTACGACCAAAAAAAGAATACCGACAGAGAAAAAATATATAGTTAACATTTTGCTATATCTGCAAATCGTTTTTTTTTTTGTAGTATTTTTTAACGAGTAATAAGTGACCGGAAAACTAATTCAAATAAAACTTTTGAGTGTTTAAGGCTTTATTTGTGTCTTCATGTGCGTTTCGTGTTTTTTAATGTAGAAAGCTTTGCCTGGCAACACAGTGCAATGCAAAAAGTACCTAAGTTATTTTGTGGGGCTTTTTAGCTCATTATCAAACTGCAGAACGGATTCAAGTATTTTTTGAAGATTTGTTCAGTTTCAGTCTTACTGGTTGAAGTGGTGAGTCATTAACATCTTCGTCACTGTCGTTCTCGGATTCATGCTCAGACTCTACAATGTTAACCTCAAGAAGACATGTTGAGCATTGCCAGTTGATATAATATTTTTTTTAAATTCTGCGGCGAATTTTTTAAATTTGTCATCACTTAAATCACTGCATTTTTTGTGAAATCACTTTTTGCAATTAATACTAATACTTTTTTAGTTTTCTCTGATTTGTTTTAGACAACAATCACACGTATATTTACTAGGCGCCTTTTTTTATTGGTAAATGCACTTATTAATTGCTTTTTCATATGTTTATTAACAAACTTAACATGCATTTTAGGAATAAACAGAACTGAGTTACAACGACCTTATAGATGGCCGCGATGAACCACCCCAACTCGCACTCATCCCATCAGTGGCGTATTGCGCCGAATCAACTATATTATCCGCAAATTTAAGCATACTAATCTTTTGTTCTATAACCATCCCAAAGCTGCCCTGTCTTAAATATTATTTATATATTATATATAAGATTTTTGATGCTTAGAAAGTTAAGCTACTTGTTCTAAATGTCTCTCAAGAAGCCGCCACATAATTTTTAAATATGGTTACTATCATGTTGCGTCATCTGAAGTTTTCTCGCGTCTCATCTAACCTACCGACCTGCATGTTTTGAAATTTTCGCTGGCACTCTATACTCTATACCTATTAATTTTTTAGTCTTTAACACGTACTCGAACTCGTTAACTGAATAATAAAAAAAATATTGCGCATTCATGAATGCATATCCATCGAAGTCTTGAAACAACTCATATTATCTAATCAGGCTTTTGGCTTCCATTCATAAGAACAGGTGACTGGATAACTCAGCTTAATTCGACTAAATTAAAAACTAAACCATTGTAATTTACACATGAGATAGAAATGAACAATCAAATTGGTTTTCTCGATGTACAAATCATTAGAAGTGCAGACGATCGGTTGATTCATAATTGGTTATCAGAAACCGACCTTCTCGGGTCGTGTTTTACATTACCATTCATTCCATCCAAAACACCAAAAAATAGCGATGGTGTTTTGCTTGACGGACAAGGCGATCAAGTTATCGGATAAACAATTTCATGATAAAAATCTGAAAGTAGTTACAAAGATTTTGCAAAACAATTCTTATCCTCTCACTTTTATTAAAAAACATATCAGAAAAAGACTCGCAGTTTTAAATTGTAATAATAATAACAGTTTGTGTCCAACAATAATTGAACCGGAAGTTAGCCTTACAATTCCATACACTAACAGTTTTACTAAACAACTGAACACCAAACTCAAAAATTACAATATTCGCACGGTTAATTCCATTAATCTAGATCATATTGTTACACGAGGAACGGATAAATTGCAAAAAGTTGATAACACCAATGTCGTTTATCAGATATACTGCTCGACTTGTCCTGCAAACTATATAGATCAAACAAAAAAGAAATTAAGTACACGCATAAAAGAACAACGAAATAATATAAATAGTTTTCCCAAATATCATAATGTAATTACAAAACATCGACTCGACCATCCGTCGCATATTATAAATTGGGATAATGACTAACTTGTCTTCGTTTTGCCTCACGTTTTTGTCACAGAGTTTGTTTAGTTTGTTTTGATTGTTGACTATATTTATTTATGTGAAAAACATTATTTATGTGAAAACCATTAACTATGTAACTATGTTTCCATTTTTTACTGATGGTGAGTGTAGATGATTTTAAATTATTGTAATGAATCAGAATTGTAATTTCGTATTGTTTATTTGTAGACCTGAAGATGATCAATAACAATGATCGAAACGTCGTCATTGTAATGTTATAAAAATAGAGAGTATCACAAATAAAATTTGGTCTGTAATTGGCGAAATTAACTTCGTTTTCTTTCCATTGTAATTTAAATTTAGTATTTTCAAAACAGGAAATAGGTTTAAAAACTAACGAAATACAGATAGGCACCTATTTTATACCTTTTTTAAATAAAACTATTTTAAATTAATCGCATTTCTGATATTTAAAACTCTGTACTTGCAATCATGATGTAGTTTTAATTTCACAAAAAAAGTACAATACTATCGTGAAAACAGCAATTCTCTATTTTTAAAATTAAGGGAGATATCCCGCAAAAGTGCCAAAAATGGATACTCTGTACTTACACTTAGTGTATTAAATACATTTTAAGCGGTATTACTACGCTATGCAATTGGTCGCATAATTTGACGGCTCATAAATAACCCCGAATTTTTGAATAAGTTTATACCTCTTCTACATTTTTCCTCTTTTTTTCGCATCGCTTAATTATGCGTTGAGAAAAAGATACGTTTGTAACAATTATTTTATCAGATTATACCTTACCTGAAAAAAGGAATGTTTACGTCCCTTTCCAGAATTTCCTAATGAAGATACATTGTTGGAATTCCCTAAGCCACCAGAAAGGACAGCCAAATTAGATACTTCCTGATCATCCAAAGATTCTGTTTCCATTGCTACCGGTATATCTTCTTCGCCCTCGTCATTTTCATTTTCATCCTAAAATAAAATAAAACCTATGAATTCACTCTACAAGAAACAATTTTAAAAACCCTAATATAATTGCATCGGAAATTACCCACCTCCCCTAGTCCTAGTCCAAACCTCAGTTTATGAACCAACCACCCTTACAGGTTTATTCTACTTAACCTACCAGTATAAGCGCTGTTTTAAATGAATGGTGAAATAAATATAAATTAACAGTTGGATTCGTTTTGAATTTTTAATAACAAAAACTCTTAAGCATTATAGTTCTAAATTTCAAAATATAAAAATCAGTTAAGAAAAAATAAATTTATTCCACGTTTATAATTAATTTTATATCACCTCAATTATTTTGAGACTAGAAAATCCAACATAGTGTATAAATTCACAAATAATGAATGACCAAGTTCTGCAGAAATTCTTCATTGTTTCCAAAGTATCAGAAATAAAACATTTAAAAAATAAAAGAAATCAAAGTCGAAAGTTTACCTGATCATTCCACGAGGGTAATGCTAATCCTTCTCTGAGATTATCGCTATCAGAAGAGTCAGAATTTCCTGATCTCATATAATAGATTAATGCATCAAATACATAAGCTACATGCTTCAATGCAGACACATCAAGGATAGGAAGAGAATCCAAATGTTCACTGTTATGAGCCCTCATTAACGAAAGACAGTAGGATAAAAATTCCCTTCTGGCTGAATGAGCGTCCACACCTACTATATATATATATATACTTTTATTATAAGTACAGATAACTATTATACCATTTTTACCTTCTCTTTCTTGTCTCGTCCGATTTGTTTCTAAATTTGTCGTAAACCCAATTATCCGCGTGCCTCCAGAATTTGTGTTTGAAAAACCATGAGAACGACCTGATAATCGATTTGAAGGAGGTTGTACTTCAGATATTATACCCAATGACAGTCCCGGTTGTATTTCCGAATGTGTCAAGGAGGCCCCAAATCTCAATTGAGCCTCAGTGGCATCCATAACTGTTAGAAGCCAATCCCAGGTGGCTTTCAAACGAAATTCTAAATAAATCTAAAACACAAAGCTATGAAATATTTTATAAAATAACAACGATTTTCAATAAATACCTGAACATTATAAATGTCATCTTGAGTAACATCTATATGAGCAAATGTACTTGGCATTATATGAAGATCTTGCATCAAAGACAGCAGTTCTGCTATCTGTCTAATTATAATACCTACAAGGAAAATAAAAATGTGCATTTCAGTATAACTTAACTAGAAGCAAGTATCCTGCTTAAAAAATAAAATAATATATAGCTGCACCTTTAATAAATATTGAAGAGAACTGAAATTAAAATTTTATATTTAGATATTTAAAAATGTCATGGGGGCACAAAAATCGAGAGGCGGACCATGGGCGGACTTTATTACATTCATATTACACGAAATATAATTGAGTGCCGTGGAACAACAACTAAGCCACAAATTTGTAGAATTTTGGGTTATTAATAGTGATACCTTCGATAGATTCATCTTTTACTGCGTCTAAAAGGTTCTGGAAATTTTGGTAGTTATTTTCCACTGCTCCTGTAGTACCAGATCGAGAATGTTTTAATGTATTGGACAACTCCGTCTGAACTTGTACAGTGACCCTATCATTTTCAACATTTTGCTGTCCATTACTATTTTGAGGATAAATGAGTGGATTGGGACCCATAACATTCATAGAATTAGGTAAAGGCTGGTTGGCTTTAATTGGCTGACTCATACCGAAATCAGAAGTTCTGCAGGATAAACCCAACCTAGATGGTATCCTTTCCAAAGGATTTTTCGAATGTATACCTACAAGAAGTCAAGTCAACTTGATTATTAATTTTCCTCATTTTACAATCATTGTTATTATTAGTAGATAACTATTAACGATAACTACTATATTATCACTAATATGTTAATACCCCATAAACCTTAATAAAATATAACCGCTGAACGACGATAGGTTTTGTGTCAACCAGGTAGATCGAGTAGTATGCGAATGGTGTGACTTCTTTGCTTTCTTCGAACACAAAAGCAAACGTAAGCAAAAGATGACTTAAATTGTCACGTTGAAATTTCGTTAATGAAACATCCTCGTCTTCTCGCAACTCAATATCTATTGCATTCATGGTAGAAGTTACCTTAGGTGTATAAAATGAATACAACACGTCAGGAATTTGCAAAATACCAATTCATCGCAGTTGGATTCAATACCATTCCCGCTTTAACAACAAAATCTTTTCCCATTAAGGTTTTATTGTCTTCGAAATATGAAAATGCCATCAGCGTGATAGGAGTCTGATTTCCTTCAAGATTTATAACGACATCATAAAGCAACACTTTACGTCGTTCGACAATAATACCATTAGTTAACGCGAAATCTGTTGTAGTACGAAACGAACGAATGTTTTGGACTTTAAGATAATCAAAAAGTTTACGTCCAACAATATTCCGCATTTCACCAGTATCTATATGAGCAAGACCTTCCAATCCGTAAACAGAAACCTTGACCAGTGATCGATAATATTCAGTTATTGCATAGGCTGCTAACACGTCAACCGTTTGGATGCCGTTAAGATGACTATTCGAGCTTTTATCGGTAGCTCTAGCTTCAGGGTAGTTCGATGTAATATAACCTGGAGCTCTACAGTCGAAACAAACGATCTCAGTAGACTTATTGATAACTGGAATTTCACGTCTAGGATCGCTTTCTGATTTCGAGTTATTATCGTGTTCTCATACTTTTACTGAACAGTAATTTTCTACATGCAGACTTTTCATGTCCAAAATTCTTACAATAATCACNTTATAAAAATAATTTTTCATTAAAAATCCCACCTTTTTTCATATTTAATTTTTTGAATCATCAAATTAATTGAAAAAAAAAAAATTTTCATCTAAAACCCAAAAAAAATTAATTCGATATTCCTCATACTTGCAAAAATCCTCAATTATATCTACAAATTCAATAATTTAAGGGCAAGAAATTTAAAATTTTATTAAATTTAAGTATGTAAGTTGATATATATTAAAGCGGTCGACTTATGATACTTTGAGATTTCAATGAGACTTTACATACCTAAAGAGGAGGTAGTCAAAAACGACCTTGACTACTTCTCTTTTATTATTTATTTCACGCGGACCAAGTCGCGAATAAAAACTGATATTGTCCGTTTACTTAGAGATAGGTACAACGCAGGTGATGCGCACAAGCAAATATCAGTCGCAGGTAGGTCCTCGAAATAAGGATGGTTATTTGCCGTCAGATGTTTCAGATAAAAGTCCAACCGTAAACCTTTAGCGCCGTAAATAACTTACGGTCATTAAAGCAGTGCGCGCATCTATACCTCATCATGTACCTTTCTCCAAGCTAATGGACCTATTTACGTAGATTCTCTTCGACTATCAATAATTAAATTTTAATTGGATGCTTCTTATTTGCACCTCCATATATGGTAAATTTTTCAATTTGACCTGCCTAGTTGGCACAGCATAATAGAATAATAACTGATTAATAATAACACTAAATTTGTGTGGATTTATTCATCATCATCATAAAGTCGTCGTCCTAAGACTGCTTGGACACGTACCTCCACTCTTTCCTATCCTGAGCTAAACTTCGCATTTCCCTAAAACTAGAACAATCCACATCTTTAACTATTTGCGAGCAGTAGTCTAATCTAGGTCTACCTCCACCCCTCCTAACTTCTGCTTCTGCCACTAATATGTCTCTGACTAGACCTTCATGTCTGAGAAGGTGTCCTACCAACCTATCTCGCCTATTTCTTATTGAGTTCCATAGAGTCCTCTGTTCTCCTATTCTTTCTAATACCTATTCATTTCTAACCTTTTCTATCCACGTTATCTTCATCATTCGCCTGTAACACCACATTTCGAACGCTTATAACTTTTCTTTTCCGCCGCGCTCCAAACATACACCTTTAACCTTTTTCGAATTTCCAAATTAACCGTTCGCGAGCATAGAAGTGACTTCTTTTTATTAAAGGCGACACGACCCTGCGCTATCCTCTGCTTTATATCCCTACTATTCCTTCCGTCCTGACTTATCTGACTTCTTAGATATCTAAAATTAGCCACTTCTTCTAATTTTTCGTCTCCTATCTTTAAATTCGTTTTTTCCCTACTTTTTCTTTCCTTGCATACCAGTATCTTAGTTTTAGTGGATCTATTCACTTAAAATTATTTTTTATGTAGGTAGGTACTTACCTACTTTTTCAAAAACAAATTTTTAGATTAGAAAGGATTAATTTTTAAAGAGTTTTGATTTCATCAAGAATCGATCAGCCATCAAAAAGTCGCTGGGGCAGTTTTTACATGCTTATTTAATTATACATTTCAAAGCTATTAATAGAAAACTGCATCAACATACCAAATGCTCTAGCTAAACAACTAGCAGTCGTTGCCATTGTAACGGGTTCAGTACTTGTTGCAACTGCTGTATTACCACTAGTCGCACGTCGTAAAGAACTTGGGTCGATAAATACTAAATTTGAACCACCTGCCAGACGAACACCAGTTGATCTGTTTGTCTCTCGGGATCGAATTGCCCATTGCATGTTTTGAGGTGCAAGATTACTACGATGGCCGTGGCCCGTTGTATTGCTGTAACGGCTTCTTTCATAGATACGATCAAAATCATGAGCACAAAAAAAACACAAGTAATAAAAATAAAAAATAAAAATAAATATACATTTTTTTAAAAATTACAAAGAATGCCCAATCACTCACTTATTTCGTACTATTGATGTATAAATAATGAATGTATAATCGTAATTATAATCAGTGGCTTAACACCAACTAATTTAATATTTAACTGATGCAATGTTCACAATGAAAATACCAGTATTTAGGTAGATTTCAATGAAGTGTGCACTACTTTGGATGAGTCAGATGCCTTTCGACAAGGCAAATTATTTCAATTATTATTTCAAATTATTAGTCTAATTGCCTAATAATGTCTTAGGCAAATGATGCGGAAATTATTTCGCCACTGGTTTGTTTCTATTAGTTACAGTTGACGTTAACCGTATTGTTTTTTTTTCATATTATTCATTTAAAATGGAGAAACGATGAAAAAATTCTATAAAATTATAAAAAATTAATTATGAATTCATATTAATATGGACCTACGCTGCTATGATTCCTGTAGTTATTCCCTATTCTGAAACTACCAGTGCTGAAATTTTAGATTAATTTTGCATACGAAGAGGAGTTTTCGCTAGTAGATTCTCCTTGGAGGAAATCCAAACTACCGAGTAGTGCGGACGGCTGTCACTAAGCTGAACAGCTTCTACCTACAACACTTTTTGTAGAAAATACCACTAAAGAAGACAGTAAAAACCATTTTTCAGTTGAATGTTATTTATCAGTAACTATTTATTTAACTTCAAAATCTACCTTTCCAACTGGCATTTTCATCAGTTTTTTTTTTTTTTTCAATAATATCCATGTCCAGACTTCACAGACACGGAACTAATCATTATTGCATCAGTAAAAATGAAGTACAGTCAGTTTAATAGGTTATATTTTTTAGTGTTGAATTTTTTTATATTATACTCTTATATTGCATAAAATCTTACGAGCATAGAAAAGTAAATTCCATTTAAAAAAGATCCCTGAATATTGCTTAGACATTATACAATCAATAGTATATTACGCCCCACGGGACCTTCGGTTTGAATGGCAACCCAAGCGCGTAATTTACTGGGTATAATACATTTAAATTCCAAAAATATTAAATATGCCGTTCCTTTATTTCAATAATACTTTTGTTTCTCAGCAAAACAGAGTAGCATTGTTTTGTTGAGCGGCTATAAGAAAACATCTTTATAATGGATTATGATTACATGTCATTCAGTCATACAGCAAAAGATTTTCCTCTCAAAGAGCAAGAATGTGGAACAACAAACATTGTAAACATCTTACCTTCGCCTTTCTAACTGCTCATCTGTGTATATATAGTCGTCCGTCTCGTCAGTTTCTCCTGCCTCACTTTCTTCTTCTTCTTGTTGACTTGAATCTCCGCTGTCATCTTCCGGAAACAACATCAAACCTAGTAAGTAAATCACAAGTAATTTAACGGCTCATTAACAAAATATTATCCTCCGTATTATCTAATAAGTAAATCATGATTTTTTATTAAGAGGATAAAGATAGCGAAGATGTATAAAATGATTTATTAGAAGTATTTAAATACAAAGCGCAAATAGTTAATGTTGAACAGCATTAATACAAGGTTTATCAGAATTACGTATGAAGCCTGAAGGAGATAATAGAGCACTATAAAATAAGAAAATTAAAGAAATGTTTGTATGCACCAAAGTTCACCGTTTTCGAGAAAAACAGCAAAGTACAGACAAATATTATTCCGACTCTGGCAAAGAAATGTAACAATGCAACGCCACATCCAATTGGCTAATAATTAGCAGCATCAAAGTTGTATTTCTTTTGTATTTTTGCTCGTGTATTCTTTGTTATTTCTTAGATAATTTAAGTGTGATTCAAAGTGTTTATGTTACTTCCAACCTGCAGCAATTGTTTATTCTTTTAACGTTTAAACTTTGCACCTATTTAGTAAATCGATGTGCAGTTCTATAAACTAAATCAGCAATACGACCATCAATCATTGGAATAGGTCAGTATGTCACTGCAGAACCATTGTTATAACAACGATGTAACATAATATTTATTTACGAGTTTGAACCATATCCGTTGTAGAGGACGAACTTCTTCGTTTCACAGAAGACAACCCCCAAAAGAGTACCAGCAAAATAGCAGGGAATGTTAGCTCCTCTCATGTGACAGTGTGGCAAATTTTAAAGGATCCGTTTCTACATTTTTATTATTTACAGTATGTGCAAGCTTTACTTGAGACTGATTTTCAGCCGCTAGTGAATTTGTGTCCGAAAAGTGTTTGCAGAGCATATTTTGTTTCCGTAGGATGTTTTTAACAGACAACTGTTGCTCTACGAGGGAAAATTTTTGAATCTTCACAATAGTCTCTATTGGTGTGACGCAAATCCGCATGTCGTACATCAAAATATAAAAATTAGTTTATTTTAAAAGTGTCAAGCAAAAAAAACAATTTATTCGCACGCAGAATATGCGGCATCACACAGGAAGTGTAGTAACGCACCAAGGGGGGTAAAGACCAGCAAAAAAGAGAGATCTGGCGAAATCGTTTTGCAACTGATAGAAGACAATCCCAGCTTGAGTATCCGAGTCATGGCACGGCAAACACGAATTCCGCGTGATACGGTGGGGAGAATTCTGAAAGAGAACTCCCTACATCCGTACCACTATCGAAATGCGCCATACCTATGACCGTGTTTAATACACCACACAAACCAGGATGTACCTCCGTTGCTTTTATGAATTGCACCGGTACCGTGGCCGGATGAAACAATCGGCAGTGTATTCTTTCCTTGTACGTGTTTGAATACGGAACTCCACCACAGCGCCGGTCATCATGGTTGGAGCAGTCGTGGCTTTCGGCAAGATTATTACCTTCATGTTTATGTATATCAGTGGGTGGGCGAGATGGCTCATTCTATTTACCTTCATCTCCCTTAATTTTTCCGGAGTACTGATCAGACGGATGACAGTAGTTTCGTTCATGTTTCGAAAGTGTTTTAGTGAAGTGCCCGATGACCTTTTCCTTTACGTATTGTACATGGGGTAATACACCAGCAAGTCCCTTTACTGTTGCAGTTGACAAGATGATGGAATATATGAAATCCTATGATATTGTTAGTTACTTAATAGTGGATTAATATGCAATATTAATTTGAAATCATTTTTTCGATTTTTAATTTACCCACTACAAACTACCCCAAATTATTTTTCGTTTCTCTAGGTACATCTTGTGTATTTACGCAACATTTTTGTCGTTTCTGTGTTTGACTTAATTCGTGTAGCTAGTGACCTGTGAACCCGCAGGATAAGACTGGATTTAACTAACATATACGTACCTAATTATGGTTTTTAGTGTGTGGTACAGATTCGTACCGTTAGTAGGTATATNTGCCGCTGCTGCAAATTATCTAGTTTGTAACGTTATTTAAAAAAAACTTATGAAGAAATAGTAATAATGACAATTATATATCTCTCTCATTTTATTTGAAGATAATGACGATGCGAAAGTTAAAAACATGATTTTTTTAAATAGGTAATTGGCTTGTGTACCCCTGAGAAACCTTTGTTGAACTACTGATCTTAACACGCATTTTGCAAATAAAAATACATCCGGAAAAAGTATTTTAAATAAAGTACAAAACGCAAACAAAAGAAAAAGCATTCAAATGTAAAATAGAAATACGTATTTTGTATCTACATTTTAAATATAAATATTGCAAACAAATCACATCTGTGAAAGATAGCCATCTTCTATACATAATTTAAAGTAAATAAAACACATACCACTGTTGACATAAAAAGAAAATTTTGTTGATGCGTTAAACGTTCCTACGTTAATAGCTACTGTAGCAGCTGAGCACATTACCACTGCCAAAAAGCCCTAGGCCCAAAAACTTTACGGAAAGTACTTTAGCCCCTTGAAGCCTTAATTACATTTTAAAATTTAAGGACTTCGATTTATCATTAATGAAAACGTAAAATTTAAGTTTTAATGACATTTTCAGGGGTTATTTGATATAAAGACACATTTTGCGAAAGTATTAATAGACCACGTCTCAAAGTAACCGTTTTTAAAAGTATTAAGAGTACCTACAGTTGAAATACCTCATTTTTTAAAGGTTTTCAAAATACATGTTTTTGGTGATTTTCTTACAGTAAATTGTTAATTAAACAATTGGACCAAACTCAGACGCATGAACCACACGGCATCTTGTGCATTTTGCAATTTGCACACTGGCGACTTTTACCCACGCAGCGCATCTGGTCGTGTAAATTACTATTTGCTGAAGCTACATAAGTCAACATATTGTATTGTATAGAAGAGAATATGTTCTTGTTATTGTAAATGTAAGAAGACATCATAGTAGTTCTTGTAACAGCAATTAAGAAATAACAATCTAAAGTATTAATTTATAGGAAATTGCGTTAACTTATAATTAATGCATTACAAATTGTAACACACTTCAAATAGGTACCTACTACATACACAAGTTTTTTTTTATTTACTTATTTTTTGTATGCTCCGTTTAACGAACCGCTACTGATTTTTACACCCATTCGCCTTGCACTCTCCGCAGCGCTCTGGTACAATTTAATTAATTACTGTCTGTTATTTTGTGAATTTACTTTAGAAGCATTCTTTTGCTTTATTGACTTTTGAAAACAATCTCTTTTTGCCTGTAATGACAACCTACTAACTACGATCCTTTAAACTGAAGTTTACAATTTACACGGTGACAATTTTGATTTTTACATCCTTAAATATTTGATATTAGCAAAAGTGTAACTTTTATCCGATAGTGAATATGTATAGTCCTCACCTGTGTCGGATCCCGCCGTCGCTCCAGTTTGGACAGATCTTTGGGCCGAAGCAGCATCTTGATTGCTGTGATTATCATCACTATCAGATTCTGTACTAGCTAATAAATCTAATTCTGGATCACTTTCTTCTTGACCACCGCCTTGTTCTTGCTGATCACCTGCCGGTTCCTGAGTCTCACTTTCATTTAAGGATGCTTGACGAACTGCAATTGGTAATTCTCGATCTGCCTGGACATCTTCGTGTTCTGAACCGTTATCATCATCGTTATCTATTGCCATGCCTATGTTAAAAAATAACGTCAACATAATATTTTGCTCTTAATTAAATTTTCTTACTTTCACCATCATTTGCATCATCTAAATCTCTAGCGGCCGCTGCAGCCCTACGAACAGCTTCAGCAATAAATGTTAACGGTGGCTCCGTTGCCGGAGAATTATCCGCAGGAGTTCGAGTATCAGGTGCAGCCAATGGATCGACCAAGAATAGTTCTTCTGATCCACTAATTATTTCATTAACTGAAGTTGCCAGTGAGAAAGGAGCCGTTGGTCTCGCTACACCTAAACGCACTGGAACTATCAGAGAATCTGCTATTTCGCAAAGTTCTTCAATTGATAACTTCACCATCGATCTAAAGACCCTTCTACATTTACTAACGGGCTGGTTATATGTGTTAATACTGAAAAAAAAAAATACAGAAACAAAATTCTAGATATTTTGAATAAATGATAAAACTAAACTCACTTTCTTCTTTTTGTTGCATTTGGGGCCATTTCAACACTAAAAATTACGAAAATGCGAGCAACAGATCGAACAAATCTTCGAGCTACTTCTACTCCTCCTTCAGTACCTCTTTTTATTTCTTTTACGAGCGTTTCAATAAGAATCTCAAGCACTTCCAAATAGCACTTTACAAGAAGGCAGTGTGTAAATTTATCGAGTAAAGTAGTTCCAGACTGTTTACCCACATACACCTGATCTCCAATTATTGGATCTTCACATTTCTTTGTTCCAGACAAAATCATACTTCGCACAGCCTTCCAATCACCTAGAAGACATTCTAATGCTCGGCGACTAAACCGCGGAGGTTCCAAATCATGGTCAGGCATATCTGACTCAACTGTAAGTAAAAGAAAACTATCCTAAATATGCATTCTTATTTACTACATATTTTAATCTAATGAAACATGACAGAACATGAATGTGACCTATTTTAAACTTTTATGTTGCTTACTTACAAAAGAACAGCCGAACAAGCAACTTATTGTGCCATTTTAGAATGTCTTATATTGCATTCAGATTGTTTAAATTTAAATATATAGATTATCAATAATAAAAGACTGTTTTATTAAAAAATTAAAAATAAAAATTAAATTTAATTGAGATATCGTAGAATAATCATTTTAAAATATCAGCATAAAACTAGGGCATCTGCGTAATTTATGTTGCACATATCCTGATACTTCTATCAGATTAGTATGTTGGGAGAGGGGGCCACATAATTGTGCAAATTGCAAAATTAGTTTGTTATGATTACTTTTGATACACCGATCGTCGATTTAAGGGTGCTCTAAATGAGAGACGGTATTTTTAGCAATACAACTGTAACCATGAACATGTAAACAAGTATTAAGAGGTTAAACAGCATCATAAATAATCTAAATGACGGATGTTACCGTTGTGTATATTTCAAACATGGCACTCCTCCATACCGTAACCCTATGGTTTCCGTCAACAGTTGTTTAGTTAGTCAATGTCATATTATATCGATTTATTAAACGTCTAACACGTTAAATGATTTGTGATTTTTCATTAAAAATTCTAAGGTAAAAACACAGTTCTATATGCACCATAACGCAGACGTAATACGGTCGAGCAAAAGTACAAGGTTCACAGTAATTCTGAAAATATTTAAATTTTGTGGACTCTTACTAGGTTCCTTGGTTAATTAAAAATTGTCTCCATGTTTGCAGTAGGTACATAGTATCGTAAAAAAACATTTAATTACAATAGCAAAGATATAAATAAAATAATAAATTATCACAGGAGTTAAAAGTCATGTGACGTCATTAAAGGACAATAAGATTAGGTACTGACAAAAAATGTAATAAAAAGTTGCAGCTAAAAAATTATTTTAAAAAAAGTACGTTGACAGTAATGTATACAGTATAGTTGGTCATTAAGTAAATTAGCCATAATAGTTGGTTATTCGGCTAATTTGGTCTCTTGTCAAAAAAGAAGCGAAGCTTCCAAAAATAAACGTTTAAAGCAATTATGTGTGTAAAACTTTTACATGTGGTAGTAGTCATTAAGTAATTCGTATCGTTCAGCCAGATCCAACTTTTGAGTTAATACAAAACTTCCACAAAAAAAACGAAATGTGTGCTGGGACACAGAAGTAAAACTTCAGCGGACAAGTGGAAAAACGAATGGCAACGGCCCAGTGGAAAAACGAATGACAATGGACAACTGGAAAAACGAATCGCAACAAAATTTTTATTTTTAAATTAAAATTTAAAAGTTTTACGGGCAGATTGTTAATGTACCCGTAAAACTGCAAGTAAAAATTTTGTTGCGATTCATTTTTCCACTTGTCTGTTGAAATTTCACTTCTACTATGTGTCCCAGCACACATATCGTTTTCGCAGGTTTACTGAAAATTATGATTTGATTTTTACACAGACTCCAAATAGAGGCAATGATGTCCAGTCACGTGGAGAGCAGAGGTAAGAAAACAACAGTTGAGCACAGCACACTCCCCCGGGACTAATACAGCTTTGCTCTTCCTCCACCGCTGGCGCCTCGCACCACGCGATATACCGTCTACCCCGTCCACGCGGCCGTAACGCGTTTTCGTGACAGAAAAAATCGTAATACCCCGTCATCTATATAGAAGTTTCACTTCAAAAAGCACTTCGTTTTTCTCAAAATTTTCAAATTTCCAAAGCAACTTTTGCAATTTTTCATCGTAACTAAGCAGCAGAGATGTGCAGGGATGTAGCCAATAAACTCTAGGCAAAAGTGTATGAACACTAATCATTCTCTCTCCCGATAAAAAAATTACACTTTCTACTCCGTCTCTACATTATTCCATAGTCCATGACTAGTTTTTATATCTCTGCCGCTATTTGACTCCCCAAATATCATTGGATGTCTCACTCAGACATCCAAATGGGGATTATTTTATGTCCGGAATGCTTTACCCCATAATTAAAGTACTCGGGATATCATACTGGTAGTGTACAAACTACTTGGCAACGTTGACCTTTTCAAATGTGCGGCGAAGAGGTGGAGAAAAATCATACGGTACTTTGTTGTAATGTGTACCTTCTACGGTGACATATTTGGTCAGGATTGACCAAGCGACCTAAATCTAAACTGTGGTTTTACAGCGAACTATCTATAGCAAATTTTTAGGTTGTCTGTGTATAATTTTCAATAAAAGTTTAAAAATAAATGTCATTTAATATTTTATCGAAAATAGCAGAACCGATAACGGGCAAATCATCGCGTATTACGTATTTATACATTATTTTATAGATAATTTGAAAGCTACATTAATAAAAAAATAAGAGTTGAAATAACTTACTATCATCTGAAGGAGTCTTGTTTCGTGAACTAGCCGATGTCGTGCGTGGCCTTGCAGCTCGATACTGACGTTGTTCTTGATTTTGTCTCCCAACTGTTTGAGCCAAGAAGAGCAATATGCTTTCTCCACTGAATAAATCATTCTCATTTATTTCATTTTATTGACTGAATGTACACGTACTTACCGTGAATTAGGCATCTCTACAAGACAAGTATCTCTCACGAGTCTAGTGAGCAATTCATATCTAACAGCCTGACTTCCCATTACTAAAGCTTTACATTTACACTTTTCCCAACAATCGCAATAAGCTGTTGGTGAAGTCCGTTTTAACTTACAATCGTGACCTTTATGGCAAACTCGAGCGCATTCGGTACAGCAGCACAAAGTTCCTGTTAGACCACAAGTGCGGCACTCAAAGATATCCTAAAACAATTGAATTAAAAAAAGTAGTACGTATATATATATGTAAACATATATAGAAACGGGTTGAGTCATTTATCATGAGACAATGAAATGTCTTTATCGGACCTGATTATTTTGAAAAAAAGAAATGTTTTGGGCAAAAGTTGTATACCTTCTAAGAGAAAATCAGCTGGTGACCTTCAATCTGAGAGCGATGTTGACGGTCAAGATCATATCCAAGATCACCCGCCGATTTCCTTTTTGAAAGCATGCGAAAGATCCGATCAAGATATTTCATTGTCTCAAGATAGTGACCCACCTTATATACAGAGTGCGGGCGTTTATCACCCTGTATGTATATGATATAAAAAACTATTTCCCTAATTTTGAACTATTTGGAAGCAATTTGTTTTAAGTAATTAATTTCCCAACAAGCCTGTCTGCGTTCAAGTTCAACTTTCGTCTTCATGTTTGGTTTGAATATATTTTGCCGTTTGTAGTTATTAATCTATTGTTTACACAGGAAACTAACAAATTAGTAAAGGCTTTCGCGACCAGTAGGTGAACTGATGCTGTTCTGCTAGGGTCTACAGGCTTCCGTCTATTGGAGTTGCTTCCTAACGTTTCGCTAGCACGCGTGGCGAGCTTCTTCAGAGGTCCTTCCATCTCCAATACTAGATGCGAACACACGACGGTCTTTAGACCCAAATCAGAACATCAGTTCACAGGAAATTAAACTTGTTAAATTATATAGGATTATTCAAACTAAGTGGTATATTAGACGTTTTAGAGAATCAAAGCAAATTAGATTTTTGAAAATATGCTAGTTTCTGAAACTGAAATGGAGTATTCATTATAAAACAAAAATCCAAAATTACTCAAAAAATTTCAAATAAAATAATAAAAAACATCCAAGTTAGATCGAAAGAGGATAAAAAGCGGAACCGAATGGCAAAATAAGGTATGGTAGGTGCCATTTTAAAAAACAAAGTTATTCGGCAGCACTAGTGTGTATTTCTATAAAATGTGAAATAATTTGCGTCAGCACAACTGATTCAATGGGCGGGAAAGAAGGAACAGCCTTCTGCTGTTACTGCTAAAACTAATTTCCTGGTAAAATTATGTATTATCTAACATGAGCGGTGACAGCGCACATCTCCCTTATATCAAATCGCACCATTACTCGACGCCGCGAGAGATACACAGTTATCCTATAATACAAGTACTTAAGAATTTTACGCAAAAAATATAAAATCCCTCCATTTGTAGTGGCATTACACCAACTAGTTTCAAAATTTTAAGAATTTAAATTCCTAAAAAACCGTGGAACTTTCTGCTAACATAAAACTCATACACTTCTGAAAGGGCAACCCATGTATAATAGTACGATATTTCTAATTTAGAAAAATAACAGGAAGTTACAAGAATTCAAGATGGTACATTTAAAATGGAATATCTAATGTACCTGATTGATATGTTCTGTTCCGGTCCACGTAAAACTGCAAGTATCATTGCAACATAAAACGTGCAGAGGCGAATGATCAGGATTCGATCCTTTGGGAAAAATCATTTCTTCCTGTTCTTGGGGCGTCCCCAATTGAGCAATACGCTCAAACAATTCCAGAGCAGCTGGATAACTTCGAGTTGATACAGCTAACATAAAAGGGGTTTGCCCTTGAGCATCCCTAAAGAAATCATTAAAAACTTTAATTACTACAATTTGAAAAGAAACTAGTTCTTTTATTTGTACATTTATAAAGAAACACAACAGAAATTAATTTGCGTTATATGTAAAAAATTAGATATTTGTTTAATGCACAGGGTGGGCAAATTTCGACATTTGTACGGGATAACTCGGTTACTCTCGATCTCTTTTCTTGAGACAAATTTATTGGTGTTTTCAAAAAGTTTTTATAGACAAAAATTGAAATTTTGAAACTTTGCTTTCATGTCCATATCTCGGTTATTTGTAACGACTTTTACGTTCTTCAGGAACTTTTTTACATAAATAACAGTGGTGCCATTACCATTAGCTGAAGTAAATAGCAAGTTCTTTCAGAAAGATGACGCACCTCCTCATAATCTCATAGTCGTTTCGGGATTATTAAACATCAATTTCCTATTGGATAGGAAGTAATAGACCACAGGGATGGCCTACATGATTACCAGATTGATCGTCACTGAACTTCTTTTGAGAGCACATTAAAAATGCATTATATAACAAATCAATAACAATTTTAATGAAATAGCAAAAAGATAAAATTTTATTCAAATTTAATGTTTTATCATTTTAAGGTTGTCAATCGCTCATTCGCAATTAGGTCAGTATGCCACTTATTGTTATTACAGTAGCGTTAGTACGGCAGAACATTGTGATACGATCCTGATGTACAGCGAATGTGAATACAACATTAATGCAACAATTGAGTTGTATAGCCATCAACATCCTCAGCGAAGACTTCTACACCCGCGAACCAAATGCAGTACAGAGATTAAGAGAAACCGGCAATGTGCACCTCATATTTGATGGTTGTGATCACCGCTGTAAAAGACGAAATCCTGGAGTTCATAAAAGACAATCCCCAAAGTAATATATGGGAAATAGCAGGAAACGTTGGCTCTTCTCATATGACAGTGTGGCGAATGTTAAAAGCAAAATTGCTGCATTGTTATCATTTGGAACGAGCCTTACTGATTTTCAGTCGCAAGTTAATTTTTGTCAGTGGTTTCGACAGAAAAGTGTTGCAGAACCTAATTTTTTTCATGGGGTGTTGTTTACAGTTAAATTCGCTTCATGCGGAACGGCATTTTCAATTTTTTTATTTCTTTTGTGATTGTATATGCTGCCTGTGGTATACTTATTTAATTTATTTAGCCTAAACATCATGTGTAGTACTAAATCGTTTATGTTTATCTTACGATTAGACGTTCGATAATAGGCAATTCTCTATCTATGTAACGGCAGAGTTTTTATCACACTAGACCTCTATTGCCAACTCTTGTTCAGGGACTATTATATTACTATTATTTTCTTTAAAAAAAATTACCCTTAACCACGGTTTTGAACCCACTTCTCGATTTTTTATTGTATCTAGTTTACACCCTCCAAAGTTCGGCACATATTTCTGTTACACCCTGTATATGCCTATGTCATAACTCGACTATTTTATGTAAAAAAAGTGCCCAAAGAACATAAAAAATTTTTTCTAATGTTATAAACAACCAAGATATGTAAACTCGAAAACAAAAGACGATAGCTAGTTTTTGAAAACACCAATAAATTGTCTCAAAAAAAGAAACTGAGAAGCCGCCATTAATTTTTTTGTATGTCTTATAGTTACTGTGTTGTCATATACAAATGCCAAAATTTACCAACCATGCAACTATCCCTTCATGTCTCAGAGAAGGTGTCCTACCATCCTATCTCTCCTTTTCCTTATTAATATCTACGACAGCCTCAGTTTCTCTGCTTTTTCTAATAACTCCACATTTGTAACTTTTTCTATTCAGGGTATTTTCATCATCCTACTGTAACACCGCACCTTAAAAGACGCTTATAACCTCTTTTCTGCCATGCAGACCGTCCACGTCTCGCAGCCGTGGTCTAATGAACTTTTAATGAACATTTTCAAATTTCCAAAACTCCTCAGTGGGTAGTAGGCAGCAAATTTAGTACTACCTACCTCATACCATCTCTCGTTGAATATGATATAAGAAAGAAATGCGTAATAGCACAAGTAGGCAGATTTAGGTATAGTGATTACAGCCCTCTTCTTTCAGTATTATTTTTAGGAGCATAGATTAAATCTTTAAAAGTAGGAACGAGTTTATTAAACTTTATCAATTTACATAAAAAAATTAAACAGAAAGAAATTGGAGGAATTAAAATAAATAATACAGAAAATAGACAAGGAATGAAGGCAAAGAATGGTGAACAAATTAAAGCAATATGGACAGAATATTTCAAGGAAATACTAACAACAGAAGAGAACGAAGAAAAGAATATAAAAAGAGTGCATCAAGATGATGAAGTCGTAGAAGTACCAACAAAAAACAAGATAACAAATATAATTAAGCAGGCCACGAACAAAAAAATTCTAGAAGAGAACATAAATATAGAATTGATAAAATACGAAGGCAGTAAATTACACGAAGAGGTATATAAGACAATAAAGAAAATATGGGAGAACGCCAAGAGAATGGTATAATGAAGCAATAATACCAATTTATAAAGGAGAGAAATCAATATGCAAAGGGATCACATTTTTAAACACTTCTTATAAAATATTATGCACGTTACAAAGAAAAATAAAATCGGCGAATACCAAATTGGTTTTAGAAAAGGAAAATTTATTGTAGATGCCTTACATATGATCAAACAGATAATATAAAAAGGGAGAGAATATAATATAGAAATAAAAATGATGTTTATAGGTTTTCAGCAAGTCTTTGATACAACAAACAGACTTCTCAATAACAGCACTAGAAGAATTGCAATTGGCAAATAAATTAATACGACATAAAAATGACTATGAAGGATATCAAAATAAAACTAAAAAAAATTGTTGGAGATAGAGAGGAATTTCAAATAAACAGAGGAATAAGACAAGAGGACTGCCTTTCAGCAACGCTCTTTACTCTAGGTATAGAATATGTAACAAGGAGGATAAATAAAAAAGGTAACATAAGAAATAGAGGTGGGCAAGTAATAGCTTATGCAGACTATGTAGTTAATATAGGGTTGTTCGGAAAGTCATTTCGTTTTTTTTTGTGGAAATGAAAGACAGTTTTCGTATAATAAACAAATACTTTATTAAATTATATATTGACCGTTCTGGTCCAACACCTTTTGCTATCTTTCTGATAGTAGCATAATTCCACGCTCATAAAATTTTTGGTCTTTGCTGGCAAAAAACTGATCGAGGAGGTTTTTGACCTCCTCATTTGAGGTGAAGGTTTTACCGTCTAAAAAATTTTGGAGTGACCGGAACAAATAATAATCCGATGGTGCCAGGTCTGGAGAATATGGTGGGTGTAGCATTGTATCCCATTCAAGCTGTAAAAGCTTTTGGCGAGTGACCAAACTTGTGTGAGGTCTCGCGTTGTCTTGGTGAAACACTACACCTTTCCTGTTGATTAGTTCTGACCTTTTCTGTTGAAGTGCATCATTCAGTTTGTCCAGCTGATGACAGTATACTTCCGAATTAATCGTTGCGTTATCCGGTAAAAGCTCAAAAAAAAACGATTCCTTTTTTTGATGAATATCGGCTTTGGAAATGGTTTGAGCCGGTTCATCTTTTTTGCTCCATGACCTCTTGCATTTGACGTTGTTGTATACAACCCATTTTTCGTCCCCAGTGCATCTTCGACATCAAAATTGCCGGATCGAAATTTAGCGAACCAGTTCTTGCACTCGCGTACTGTCAACACACCTTCTCCATACACATCAGTCAATTTCTTTCTGGCTTGAACAGCATTTTTACCCTTTCTGTAGTAAAACAGTAAGATATGTCGAAAATGCTGCTTACCGCTCTCCATATTTAAAAGGGCACCAACCAAAAACTACTGCGTAGAATTAATTGGAATTTTTCACACACAAGCCTTGCTATATGAGCTCTCAAAGCATATAAAAATTATACGGCTTAAATGTGAAGTTGGGTGCAAAAGAATACAAATAAATCCTCTGTCGGGAAAAAACGAAATGACTTTCCGAACAACCCTATAGCTCCTTAAGTTTAAAACGTTGGAGTCTTGTTTTTAAAATAAATGAGCGAAAAGCGTTTTCGCGTTGATTAAGTGTTGTGGTTAATTGTGTAATTTTAATCCTTAGAATTTACTTTATAAAGGATTGAGTCTGTTGTAAAACCCTTGACGAGTGTATTTCAACTGAAATATTGTTTGTCGCTTCGACTATTTTTACGCACAGATGTCTACGCTAAATAAGAAATGTGTGTCGCACACTGATCTTCCTTCAATATTTCATCCGCTCCTTTCCATCCTTCTCTGCACGATTCTAGTTAAAATCTCCAGACTCTTAGCCTTACAATTCCCGCCTGTACCTCACCTTTACCAGTTACCTTATTGTTCTTTAAATTAAAAACATACTTTGTTTAAATACTCACTTTGCAGAAAGTAATTCCACTAAGTACGGCGTGAGAGACGTTGGTTCATAAAGGAGTATGTGTAAGATTTGCATAGCATTATTTCTCCTTTCCGTTGGGTCTACAACGGCAATGTTCGAAGCGCAATTAGAATTAGAATGGTTTTTTCCTGTTGTCCCCGTGCCAAGCCCCATAAGACTGTCTTCGTAGCCAGAAGCAACATCGAATGATTCAGGCGGCCAATTATGCGTGGATAAAGGCTCCTCTTGAACAAAACCTTGTTGATCTAAACATAAACGTTGTCAAAATGAATAAGAAATTGTTATTTTAAAATCTACCCTACCACTTTCCGTTTCTTTGTTAGATGTAGGCGTGCACATATGCACTATTGCATGGAATATGTTACGATTTCCGTCGCATCTCTCTGCCAGTACTCCTTGAATTATACTAGGATTTGACTCTGAAAATATCAAATTTGTAGTTAGAAATGCTTCTAGAAAGTTATTTTAAATTTTATTATTATTTTAACATATCATCATTTATTTATATCTATATACTGAGTGGTACTTAATAGTTTTAGGGAAACTAAACTTGTTAGATATTTGAAAATTTGGCACTATGGATTATCGAGGATGACTAAAATAATTTCACATATCGGCCGTTTCCGGTTATATTGGAAGTTGATGTCAACATTGTTATTTTAAATGGAATGGTATATTTTTTACGATGAATTCATATGAAACACAAAATTGTAAGGTAACTTTGATAACCTCTAACAAATATTAAATTGTTTATAATCCTATTTCAATGTTGCGTTTATCTAATTATACTCTACAGTCGTATATCATTTATTAGTTCACTATTCTCTTCCATGTCTGTCTTTATTTTTGTTAGTCGATGTAAGAAAGGACAGTGTACATGAAGTTCGCTAATTTGTCACCTTAGTGTGTTTTGTCTAATGCAGCTTTTTTGATAATAAAAATTGTTTTAATTTTCTCCTTTTTTAAGATTTTTATATAAAGATAGTCTCTATTTTTTTACATTTTGTATTCTGTAAGTATGCAATAATAACAAGCACATTTTTGAAGCCATATAGAATCAAACAATATATACCTACAAAAAATACTTCGTAAATAGCCTGTAACGACTAATAACTAGCGTGAGTAGCGTACAATCACCAAGCCTATACGTATAATGACGAAACGCCTGACCACGCACCTTTTCCCTAGAAAAGGCACTTTCTAATTGTTTTTAAGACACTAAACGTGCCAATAAAATGTTGATTATTGCAGATATCTTATTTTCCACTTGGTCTTTCGACTTATAAATTAAAAAAAAAATTGTTGAATACGTTCCATAAATATGCCGCGAATACACAAACCGTGGAAATTGCAATTAGTATGGAATCATAAGGGATACCTTCTAAGGTTCCAAAATAAAACTAATATGTATCAAAATAAAATGAACCTATTGAGAAATTCGCAATTAAAATTAATCGTTATAATAAATTTTAAACAAGGGTTTATAAAATTTAGTGATTTTTTCTTGTTTTGAATTTTAATTAGTCTACTCGGTTATATCTTTTATAAAAGTCGCCTCAGCCCGAGCCAACAGTACTTAAAAGATGCCGATACATTGAAAAATAACACCGAATCCTTTTCTGTTTAGTCGGTTACATCTTTTATAAAAAGCGGCTCGGCTTGTACCACAGTACACAGTCAAAAGATGCTGATACGTTAAGGGGATTTATTAGTATATGTGCCGTAAGTATTGGTTCTAGATATCATGAGTTTAATGTTTGGAACAGAGATTTGAAATTTTGTAGTAAGATAGATAAAGCTTTATCTAAAGCCTGTCGAAGGCCATTTTTTAATTTCTGTTGAAAATACGTGTCCTACAAGAAGCATCAACTTTAAGCACTGGTAAAAGTTTTTAATGACCGTATTATTGAATACCAAAAACGTACCGAGTTAGTGTGAACCTTTGTCTGTTACCATACAAAAAATCAGATATTTATTTCGCAGCGTTAAATCACAATGTTGGGAATAAAACCCACGTTTTCGGAAAATTCACACTAGACACGACAGTCTATTGTTGTCAATCCCCTTAATAAATGAAACCGAATGCTTTTCTGTTTACCGATTGCATTGCGAATAATGAAATTTTTAACCGCAAATACAGGAACTGGATTGCAATTTTTTCACCCGCGAATAAGGAACTTTTACTGTACTTAATGTATATACCTATTTAAACACATGCATATTATTGTATTTGTTTTAGTAAGTAACCTTGTCTAAAGAATCTAATATCTGGCAAAACAGATGTAACAAATCACTAAACAACCTTTGTGCAAATTTTCCGAAGTTGTGTTCAATTTTTAATACTTAAAAAATCAATATATTGAAATTAAAAAAAACTTACTATAGTCATTATCGAGTTGAGCCAAAACTTGTCTAGTGCCCTCGGCATCACAATGTAATATTTTGGACATAAGCAGCTGTGCATCTACAGCCATCAAAACTATGGCTACCTGGTTTTTCATGTTGTGAGGAGTCCCAGTCAGAGCTATGGTACCAGTGCCAATGGCACGAACAGGAGGCAAATGTAATGGTAAAGGGTCCTTAATAGCACCAGCGCAATCTTTGGCCAAAGGATAAATTGTACTATTTCCATCGCGAAGAATTAGGATGGTCTCAGAAGACTGAAAATAAAAAAGACAATCAGGTACGGAAAAAAAACAGATAAAATAGTTAAAAAAAAATTAAATTTGATGAGTAAAAATATTCCAATGTATCTCGTTATATTCAATACTACTAGCGTATTCACTGCTGTAAATGACGATATTATGCCGCAATATGACTTATGGATTTGACTGTCCTCATTACAAAAAATGTCAAAAATTGCACTTTTTGTTTAAATTATTTGAAAAAAATGTTAAAATGATTCAGTAGTGCACGCGACGTGGCGTAAAACCATGCTTATTGGTTTAGATATCATGTGTGATATGCTTACATTTTTAGACATTTGAAATTTTGTAGTAAGATAAATAAAGACTGTCAAGAGCCATTTTTTAACTTTTTCGTTTTTTTTTTTTAGACTTAATAAAAATCAACCAACTGTTAACGACAAATTATTGAAAACTAAAAAATACCGGATTATTATAAACTTTTGCCTTTTGCTTTGAATCAGAACATTTACAATTAAAAACCCATTGTTTCCCTAAATTAGATTAAGATGCAGGCAAACGATAGTGTAGATACAGATTCCGTCTTCTTTTGCCGCCGTTGATTGTTTAATAGAGTTAAGTTAAAAAAATCTATAAAATCGATTTTGTAAGTATAACATTTCTATTCCAAATGCTAAAATTTAAAACTGCGCTGCATTTATTTACCTTGTGGTAATTCTTTTACCCTCAAAAACACAGAAGTTACGGGGTAAGCGACTCGAAGCAAATAATAGAATTTATGAAATCAAATAAACATGCCCAAAAAATGAGGTTGAAGAAATTCAGTATAGTGGTTGATGTTTATTTTTTAAATTTGAATACTAGTAATACATTGCGGCCATTTAAAATGCGATCTCTTTATCACTTTTTGAGATCAATTTTATAAAAATAATTTTAAAAATTGCGATAATTGTTTATGTCCAATAAAGATGACGAATTAACTAAAAATATATGCAAACTGGTTGGTCGTAAATGTTATAAACAATGCACTTTTATATGCAACTATTACTTCCAGAATTACTACCTAGGAGAGCAAAAAATTGTTAAAAGGCAAATTAACTTCCAATATTTAATTAAAAATTTTAGTACCATTGTCTCAAATAACTTGCTAACTGCCATCTCATTTTTAATAATATTTTTATCACTACAGATAACCTTAAATTGATGAGGCAAAATTTGTTGCTGCTGTCACGTCCTAGCCGGAAATCGAGCCCGGGTCCTTGTCATTACACGCCTCTAATACTAAATTACGAGTTGTGATAGCAGCAACCATAATACCGATACATACCTACATACGTAGGTCACAGATTCGTCAAACCAATGTGTAATCATTATTAACAATGTTAATGACCTACGTAGTTAGGTACGTGTCGTCGTTGTTGCTGGTGTCACCTCTAGTAGCATAGTGGCAAAGCAATAGTGCGTAAAGCCAGGGACCCGGATTCGAATCACGGCGATGGCGTAACAGTAGCAACAATTTTTCCTCATTAATTAGAGGTTACCTATAGCGGTAAAAAAATTAATTCAAAAACTAATTCACTTGTAATGTATTGAAATTAACTACACAAATTCTCGAAAAAAATCGCTAATATTTTGTTCACACATTCAACCAGACACATACATTTTTTAATTCAAAAGATAAAATAAATAAAGGCCATAGGACGATAAGCACAGTGAATCGGCCCCAGAGGAATATCTGGATAATTTTTTCAGGGGACATTGATACTAATGAGGTACGTTAATTTTGAAAATTTTAGACCTCTATCTATTTTGGTTTTTGAATAAATTCAAAAAAACGAAAAATCAGAAAATAATTTTTTTCTCAAAAACGGCTCAATCGATTTAATTGAAATTTATACACGTTATGAAGGTATATAAGGGCTATACTCGGAAAAAATAACAGCTCATAATCTTTATAATAACCATTAAAAACAGGCATTTTTTACCGAAATTATTTTTTTTCTTTATGATAATGTTCTAGAACAATTTTGAAATAAACTTTTTTTTATGCCCTTTTTAATATAGAATAACCCCTCAAATTCTTAAATCGATCAGAAAGGTACGCCATATTGAAAAACAAGAAAAACCGATTTTTTTTATATAAAAATCGATTTATTTTACTTTTTATACTTTTGAAACAAAAGAAAAGCGGGTTAAATGATTAATTTTATAAGTGCAAATAACATCAAATATTGAAAACAATAGTGTAATTGTTTTTTTAAGTCAAAATATTAAAAAAAGGAATTATAAACTATATTTAGATAAACCAAAAGATGACTCATTAATGTTAGTGATAGTCAACTATTTTGAATTTGAATTTGATAGTCAGCTATTTTGAATAAGTCAGAGGCACTGAAGCATTTTGCCGCCATTTCAGCTTGGGCAATTGTTGCTGTCATGCGTGCGTTCAGAAAATTTAATTTTCGTTTGCGGTTTCAAAGTCCTGTTTAAAGCATTTATAGTGCAGTTATCAGCTTCGTTAATCTTCTTTGTGAAAACTAGAGAAATTACTCGTTGATTCAGTGTTTAGGGTATTCAGACGCTTGAGTATCGATTTTTCATCGATCCAACGTCAACGCTTTTATTGCTTTTATATTTTTTGTTTAACGTAATAATTATTTTTCTTTAAAAACTCTTTTAAGTGAATAAATAAAAGTTTAAAACTAATAATCCGAGGTGTTGTGTGTGTTCAAGATTGACAAAAAAAATATCGGGTACTTCACAGGAAGATGCTGAACAATTTTCGGCTGTCTGAAAATTTATAAGAAAATAAAAGTTGATGATGGGAAACAAAAAAAAGCCTTTAGGAGGAGAATCACCTCGAGATACAGTTAAGTTATTTAAAAAAACTGAATCGAACTTATCATTAATGTCTTTGTCTCAGTCAAGCTCTGATGATCCATCGTTTGATCTGAATGTTATATGCAATGATACTGAAGAGTGTATTGATGTTCAAATCAAAAGAACTGTTATAACTCATAGATATTGTTGTGTATGTTTGGTTCAGAATAGAAATCTATGGTTGTTCCTCAAGATGCTCGTATGTAGTTCATAATTAAGCGACGGATTTTCATTCCCAATGGAAATCGATGCTGTAAAGATCATTTGATAAATAAGCGCTTTTATGAAGAAGATCTCTACCTAATAAAAGTTTATTGTAATTGGAGCATTTTGAGATCATCAGAGTTAACTAAAATTAGGGAAAGCTTTGCTGTTGAGTGTGACTCTACACTGCTCGATAAGATGGATGATTGAATCATGAGAAATACAGATACTCGTACTGTAACTCAAGCTCTTATTGTATTTTTACTTAAACTCCGTACCGACAATTCAAACAAATTGATATCAGCGACTTTACAATTAGAAAATGAGCAGTTAGTTTCAAAATATTGTGAACAAGTGATACAATCATTTGAAAAAGATGTATTATCTCGTTACTTCGGTTTTCGATCTATGTCCAGACTATCAAATTCAAATTCAAAATAGTTGACTATCACTAACATTAATGAGTCATCTTTTGGTTTATCTAAATATAGTTTATAATTCCTTTTTTTAATATTTTGACTTAAAAAAACAATTACACTATTGTTTTCAATATTTGATGTTATTTGCACTTATAAAATTAATCATTTAACCCGCTTTTCTTTTGTTTCAAAAGTATAAAAAGTAAAATAAATCGATTTTTATATAAAAAAAATCGGTTTTTCTTGTTTTTCAATATGGCGTACCTTTCTGATCGATTTAAGAATTTGAGGGGTTATTCTTTATTAAAAAGGGCATAAAAAAAAGTTTATTTCAAAATTGTTCTAGAACATTATCATAAAGAAAAAAAATAATTTCGGTAAAAAATGCCTGTTTTTAATGGTTATTATAAAGATTATGAGCTGTTATTTTTTCCGAGTATAGCCCTTATATACCTTCATAACGTGTATAAATTTCAATTAAATCGATTGAGCCGTTTTCGAGAAAAAAATTATTTTCTGATTTTTCGTTTTTTTGAATTTAGTCAAAAACCAAAATAGATAGAGGTCTAAAATTTTCAAAATTAACGTATCTCATTAGTATCAATGTCTCCTAAAAAAATTATCCCGATATTCCTCTGGGGCCGATTCGCTATGCTTATCGTCCTATGGCCTTTAATAAAAGTGGAGCCTATTTATAAGAATTTTGTTCTAGAGTATACAACTCATACTTAATAATTCCGACAAAGTAGCCTAACTTATTATATTTATAATTCTATACTTTGGGATTTAGGAAACATAAGTGGCGATTTGACAATGTACCCATGCAAAAACCAGTAAATATACAGATACACAGAAAAAGACCACGTTAACAAAGGAAATTGTCAACTACATTGAATTTTGTACAAAAGGCTCGACAATTTTTACTTACTAACGAAATTAGGAAAAATACATGTAAATTAAATCTTATGAATTAATGCAATATGCAATCAAAAATGACAGCCAAAAAGGCGAGAAATTGTACCAGAAATCTAAAGTATGTAGTATGTATATTCAAAACTATATCACATGCATTTTTTTATATTCAAAGCGGCCGCTATAAAGCAAAAATGCGACAAAATCAAATTATATCTAGCGATTGCTATTGGTCTTAGCGCCATCCACGCCAGAAGTAAATAGATGAGGTGACCACTATCTGTTGTAGCAGTTATTTATTTTTTGACATTCGAAAAATACAATGAGCATCGCAAACATTATAAATTTGAAAAGCAAATAAAATGTCTTTAGTAACAGAAAGATTGAAACGCAAATGATACTAATTAGCAAAAAGTAAGTAAAACTAGCAAATAAAAATGAACTCATTCCATATCTATTCTTGCTAACTTCAGTCAGTATTTATACACACATGCAATCTCAGAAAAACTGGATAATAGGTAGTTATAATATATAATACATTTTTCCTAAAATCTACAATCAAGTGGGAATCTCTATGGATTACATATTTTCCCTGACATATAGTAACGTAACAATAATCTGAAGTAATCATAATATATTTTAATTTTTTTGCAATTGTACAACATCCAACGTTTCGTCAGCATTTGTGGACTTTTTCAAGGATTTTAAATCAATACGTTTTTGTTAATTTAAATATGTAGTGCTTTATTTGGCTCATTTTAATTTTATTTGTATATCAAATCGGTGAGTAAATTGTAAATTGTCTTATACAATTTTATATTGTATGTTAAAAAAACAATTTAAGCAATATATTTTTGCTTAAATAAAAAGGGACGTAATTGCTCATTTTGCTAAATATATTAACAAAAATATATTAATTTTATAGTCCTTGAAAAAGCCAATAAATATTAAGCGAAACGTTGGACGTTGTACAATTGAAAATACTGATTGTATAATCTAAAGTAGTTCAAACTATTGTCAGGTTCCTATTTAAGATTTTAAAACTGTCCCCTGCTCCGTCCACAAAAATTGGGGTGGAAGCATCAATTTTGATACCTATCATTTAATCGTTTTTTCAAAAACTTCTGATGTGTGTATTTTCATTTCTTGATCTAAAACGTATTTTTCGAAATATTGCACCGTTTTCAGAAGACACCCAATTATGAATTGTATTATAATTATATAATACATAAAACATTACAAACCATAAGTTAGTTCCAAAGTTTCACATAATATTAGTCTTGTAAGATGATTGATGAAATATAATTTTAAATATTTCAGTCAATAAGAAAAAACTTATTAAATAAATAAGACAAACCAATCATCAATTTACTTTAGCTCTTTTTAGCGACCAAATAAGCAATATTTTGCTGCTTATTCGGTGGATTTAAGAGCAAGAACAATATTAAACATTCGAAAAACTTACATCACCGAAGCAGACTAAGGATATATTTTGGGGATAAAGGCCCATAAAAGACGCAATGTCACTAGGAAACTGGTTATCCTGTTCTATTCTACCGCTACTGATATTGTACACGACATAGCTAAATTTCGTTCCATTCCTAACGATAGAGTGAATCCCTTGGCCATCAACAGCGAGGCTTAATATCTGACCACTCGACTCCGGAATTTGGATCCGCCTAGGAGTTCGTTGAAAACAATCTGGGACGCGAGATGTTGATGATGACTTTATCACCTATTAAAGAAAAGAAAATGTTAAATTTTCCATATGTACTGCATACCAAAACTATCAAGTATAGAAACTTGAATTTGTTGATTAACATTGGAAATTTTAATATAGATGAACTAATGCGAATGTATAAATTATTAGTTATAAAATGGAGCGTCTAAGTATTGTTTAGTTTCTTCCAGCTCCTGCAAAATCTTTGATCTTGAGCTATAATATTAAACTAAAGTTGCATGCTTGTGTATTTATTTCATATTTGTCTCTTCAAGTTTTTTCAGTTTTTCGCCCAATTTTAATGAACTTTATAATATTGTGACTTTTTTCCACCTAATCTATATACGTGCTTTCATTGCTCGCTAATCATGACCAGCCAAGCAATGGGAATAAAGAATTCCTGAAAATAATTAAAAGTACTTCTGAATGCGCTATTATATGCTACAAAGCTCAAACCAGAGAGTTCTATATTATCAGTGTAAAACAAGAATTCTTCTTAGGTTGTACGTCCAAGTCTGGTGGTGTTGGATTACGCAAATAACATTATTTCTACCTATTTCTGCTACCCATGTGCCTCTAAAAACTTTGAACACAGCCTCTGTGATACGAGTGAAGTTTTTTTAAGGCTTCACCAACAATCTCAAGTCACCGTCTTTTTCAACGATATCTGTGAATCTCTCTTACTGCAAGACATTTTTAAGTTGGAATTAAAATCCTATCTAAATAAAAAACTTGGCACTAAATTGTCTTAAGTCTCATTCAATCTTAAAAATACAATCTCATCCCTAATGTGAACCTGGATGAGCTTAGCGATAAAAATTCTAGATCATTCTCCAACGTTATTTTCAGGAATATAACCGAATCCGCCTCTGCTAGCCCATCCAGTGAAAATGACAACTGTCTTAATAGTGTCATCAAAATACTGTCTTCTTTCTCATCGATCAACCTAAACAAGATTTATGGTCACAGAATGGGTAATTTGCTGCTGACAGTATTAGGCCCTTCTTCGTTAGGTTGAGTTCTTCTGATGATGCTCGTACTGTGCTAAAGAATTGGAAGTTGCTACCTAAAAGTGTATCTGTCTCTGCTGACCAAACTCTGGCGCAGCACAATCGTTATAAAACGCCTCGTGCTGAATGTGTAAAACTCAACAATATTCATCCTAACTCCAACCACATAATCATATACAAAAATAACACACAAATCATCCTACATTACTCCTATTTATAAATCTGGTGACAAACAAAGCATAAGTAATTATCGTCCCATAGCTATTGTCTCATCTACAGCCGAGTTGTTAGATGCCATTGTTACCGAGAAACATTCTTCGGTCCTTTTGCATCAAATTGTCCCGACCAACCTGATTTTGTCCCTAAGCATTCTACTTTTACAAATCTTTTACATCACACTAATAGTATTATAAGTGGATTTGAAAATGGTTACCAGACTGACACTATTTAGCTTGATTTCTCGAACGTCTTTAATTCAGTCAACCACAAAAGACTTATAGATAAATTAAGGGATTCTGGCTTAAATTGTAGGCTTCTATCTTGGCTTGAATCATACCTATCTAACAGATCGCAAATTGTCAAAATTGATGGTGAATTATCTTTTTCCTTTCCAAATATCTCATCTTGGTCCGTTACTATTCATTATCTAAATTAATGATATCATATCAACTGTGAAACATAGCTCCATCTCTGCTAATGATTCTAAAACCTCTAAGATCATACGATCTCCATCAGAATGTACTAACCTCCAAACTGATTTCAACGCAGGTCAATTCTTAATGAACTCTCGTTAAATATAGATAAAGGCAAATCTGTTCTTTTGTGAAGTAGAGGCTAAATTGCCTCGTATTCGATTGCTAGATATTTAACACATTAGATGATCGCGGTTCCATCATGAAAGACTTAGGAGTTATATTTAATCAACATTTATCGTTTAATTACCATAGCACGTACTATCTCTAAATCTCTTAAAACACTTAGTTTTAACACCAGATCTACAAAATCATCTAATAATACTTCATCTATTATTTATTTATAAAAAACCGTCAGTGTTCCACATTTGATTTATTACTCTCCAATCTGGTCACCTCACTGTGCCAATACTTACACTAGAAAGAGTCCAACATAGATTTCTTAGGTTACTATCATTTAAATCTAACTCTCCTATAATTTATTACTTGACAGAAATAGCTTAGCATCTGAGATTCCGGGAGAACTGCGTAAAATACAGAAAAGTAATGCATTCGGAAGGAAACAGATGCACTTTGTCGCTCAGTACTGATACTTTGTTTCTTACCGAGCCTACACTGTCCGCAAGTAAATTCACCACAGGTAGTCTCAATTTTATCAGTAATATTTATAAAAAAACTCATTTACTTACGATAATGATAGAGATTATTAATATGATTGCTTTTGTATTTATGCAAACTTAACTTAATTAAACTATTCAGTGAAGGGATAAAAGGTAAACATGTAAATTTATAATGAACCCCTTATGTACAGTTTCTAAATAGTAGACGCCTAATTATCTTAAATGCTTTAAAAATGTAATGCGTAAGAAAGCAGGACAGACTGTAGAAAGTTATTTACAAAAAAGCGATAGGACAGTTATGGTTAAATTAAACTCGAAACAGGTAAAAACGGAAATAGTGCAGATCAACATGCCTACATCATCTTACAATGATGAAGACGTAGAAGCGGTTTATACAGATATAGAAGACGTATTAAGTTTAGTGAAAGGGTGGGAAAACCTAATAGTTGTAGGAGACTTCAACGCAGTAATAAGTGAAGGTAAAGACGGTGCAATAGCAGATTCTTGTGGATTAGACAATAGAAATGATAGGGGAGATAGACTGATACAATTTTACGATAAACATAACTTAACCGTCGCGAATACTTTATTCAACCATCACTTTAAGATGCGCTAGACCTGGAAGATTCAGGTGATTTAGGAAGATATCAGTTAGATTACATACTTGTTAGGTAAGTTTTAAAAATCAAGTAAAACACTGTAGGAGTATCCAGGAGCAAATATAGATAACGATCATAAGATAATAGTCATGAAGACTAATCTTAAATTGAAAATTCTGAAAAAGAGGGAACGTAGGAGACGTCTTGACTTAGAAAAGCTAAAATGTAATAAAACGCGTGATAGGCTAGGTAAAAGAACAGACGAAGTACTAACGGAGGCAGGAGAAACGAATGGCAGGGACAAAATGGAATTGCATTAAAACGTGCTTCAAGTCTGCAGTTGCAGATGCATTAGGTCTTAAACAAAACGTAAGTAGGAATCCGTGGATAACAAACGAGATTGTAGGATTAATAGAAGTGAAGAGGAAATACAAAAACCAGACAGACGAAGGACAAAAAAGATATAAGACGATAAAGTGGGAAATAATTAAGAAGTGTAGAGCAGCTAAGGAACAGTAAATTAATATGAGGTGTAAAGAAGTAAAGGAAAAGTTTTAAATAGATAAAACAGATGATGCTTATTATATAATGAAAAGGAATTTTAGAGAAATAGAGTACAGTAGTAATAATATAAGACACGAAGTAGGGTCATTTTGATAGAAAGTGAGGAAAAGGCAGACAGATGGAAAGAATACTTTTCTACATTATATGTATTATTAACCATACGACAAACTATTTTAGATAAGAACTACTACAGTAAATATCGTATCATACCTGAAGGTCATCCTTACGCATTAAACGGCAGTCCTGGAAAATGTCATCGGAATCTTTGGAATCCTTTTCTTTCGAATGAGATGAAGGAAAGCGAACTGCAGCATAAGCTCCGTCCACTTTCAGTACTCTTCCCACAGGAATGCTCCTAACGTCTTCGACAAAAATTACATCCCTTAAAAGCCACTCCTCTTCGTCACGTCTTTGATCGTTGCTTGCATCAGCTCCGGATGTAGTCAATCTTTTCTGTCTTTCTAAATTGGAATTATAAGTCAAACAAATTGTTCACATTTCTTTTGATATTTATTCACATTTAAGTCGAATCTCAAAAACACAATTCAGTTTACCAATTTTATTTTTAATATTTGATACCTTAATATTATATTTTTAAATTTAAAATA